CAAGAAAATAATGTTTTCTACAATAGTCTTTGCTAAAATGTTCTTCCTCAAATGTTGTGTTTGACCTTAGAAATAGTAATATAAGTAGACCATTTTTATTAGCAAACACAAAAAATGCAATTTCAACGCAGTTATACTCTTCAGCAACTTTGATTTACTGCTATTGTCTTTGTCATAACTTCAAAACAATTACAGCCATTGCCTCAGTACTTTTATTGCTTATTATTAGTTGCCATTGATAGATAACTCTATAACTGAATAATTTACCTTTCCTAACTTAGAAAATTTGCTTTTCAAACTTAACTATTGAAATTCCTCAAAAATGCAATAGTTTCAAATTTTAAAACGGAACATGTCCGGTGCCATTAAACTCAGCAGGTAAACATAAAATGTTAATAAACTTTCATATTTTCATTACAAAAGCTTTGATTATGAGAAAATATTATTGAACAGAAAAATTGATGTGATTGTTTACTCAAATACAAATTGAACATCGAAAACAATATAAAGAAAGTATATAAATCTTAGAAAATAATCACAGTAGGTGGTAACATAAGTTTAGATCAGTGACAATTTATTGCAATATGTTCACTTTAAGTGATTTTACTATCACAGGGAGAAAAGATATAAACCAAAATCTTCAAATAAAGCACAATAATCTAAGTACTTATCTATTGTAGTTTTAAATACAGCTTGTTCAGATTGCAAAATAATGGCCATGTATGAAAGTGTGATATTTTATAGCATGTGCACAAGTTTTCAATAAACATATCAATCATGTAGATATAAACAATGAGATTTTTCTATGGCGAATTAACAAATATCTGAAATAATGTATGTGTGTTAACCTTAAATAATAAAAGTTTATATTGGTGTTATGATCTTAACTTATTGTAGTAATAATTTCTATACACTTACAAATATTTTCAGTTCAAAATTATTGTATTGGACAGCCCACCAATTTAAGTACACAATAAAAGACAATTATTGAATTGTTCTCACATCAAAAATGGCTTACATACTCTTTAACAAAGGAACAATGATCATACATTAAAATAATTGTGAGTTTTTGATGAGAATAACAAAAAGTTTTGTTATAGGTTATTCTGATCCTTAGCTAAGATCAAAGCTAATATTATCTTAATATTAATTTACTGTGAGGTAAATAATGAAATCATTGTAAATTCTTCCCTACCATACATCATTTAAAAAAAATGTGTTTGTTTTGTTTTTCTGGTTTTAGCTCTTGATATATATGTTATTCTGATAGAGACAAAAGTATTGATTGCATAAACTGTTGTTAACTGTTTCAAACTTTTGATTTTGTTCTCTATTTTGCTTAACTAAGCCCTTACGATAACATAGGTAGTTTATTGTACTGTATAATTACTATTCTTTATTAATTTTGCTAACTAACTCTTATTTTTGGGGTAACCCTTAAGCCTGTGTCTCAAGATTGTTATATCTAGGTCACTAGTACTGCCCTGTCTCTCTGTGTGGTTTGACTAAGGTCTATAATAATTGTCTTTGACTCTAGATTTTAACAATATGTGAGGCAATAATCGGTGCAAGTCCAATGATTGATAGATCACAAACATTCACATGCGCTCTTTTGTTAACAAGCATGTTATGGTGAATTTTTTATTGTATCCGCTAATCTGATAATTAGAATTAGACAGGTCAGGGATCTATGCATTTTATGAATTTTGAAGGTGAAAGTATATGGAATACAAATTGATTTTTTCTAACATGATTTTATTTTCAACACTGATCATAGATTGCTGGTGGAGGCTGGGAGTCTGAGGGTGTACAGACTTGTGAGCGGTTTGAGATGCACATGGGGCAACGCACCAGTGTATCACAACCGCAAGACAAGTCCAGACTACGGGTACGACTGATGTAACCATGGTAGTGACTTATCTTACCAGTTAACCACTTACATTTAGTCTTACAAATACATGTACTGGCTAATGCTACCATCTTGGAGACACTGGCCAGCTGGCACATGTGATATGTGCTAAATTTTTTAACTGTTTACTGCTTTCAGGCTTAACTGATACAAATTCAAATAAAAGAGAAGTGTTACTAACTATACATAAAGTTATTTTACAAAAGTGGTTAACTGGTATAATGTTTATTAACATTTTTTTTCACAGTTAAATTTGTTTTGGTGCTTTTTTCACTGTTAGTTGTATTGGCTACCTTTTATATACAAAGACAGATCATGTTTTCATGAAATAACATTTTCTCCTAAAAGATAATTTTAACACAAAATTTTGTTGACTTTATTGTTTAATTAAATGTTTAATTAAGAACTTGGATTTTGGAAAACATGATCTGTTTAGGTAGTGTTAATTCAAAATAAGATTGTGTGTGTTATCCATATTGTTCACAAATTATTAATATTGTCTGTTATATCAGACATTCAAGAAAGAGGTTTACTTTGGCTAATTTACTTTCCTTTATTAGTTGTTTTTTAACAATACAAAATTGTAAATGTTTGATGATTTGATAAGTTAATTCAAATGTCATAATGATTGCAATTTTACTAAAAGGAAACAATTTATTTTTCCTATAGAGTATTTTTCTATAGAAAATTGGCAAATCAAACCTCTTTCTTCAAATGGTCAACCAGTTATTAACTTAGATACCTTGTTCAGAGCTCCAGATGTATGAAACTGAGAATGAGGGACTCCATGGAAGTTTTTTTGATGTGACAGGACTGGAAATATTTTTTCAAGATTTACATTGTATGTACCATTTGATGTAGGTCTGGACCAATAACTTTTGTGATCATCCATTTACTCCATTTACTTCTTTTTTGCAGAATAATTATTTTTATCATGAAAAATGACTAAAAGATAAAAAAACATGTAAATTCTGTTTCTCAAATCGGGCTGAAAATTACACAAAATTATACTGTTTTAAAATTAATTCTGAGTATATTTTTGTATTATCTTTAGCGCATTTTTCAGTTTCAATTACCCCATTTGATCTATATAAGAATTTTAAATTTAATGTTTGAAATATGCCAGAATGTTTTGTTTTGGTACAAGATAATTTTAAATTGTGCAACAATATGATAATAATGGAAAAAAAATGTAATCTGTATAAGTCCTAGCTATTGCGAGACCAACAGTAAACTAAGATTTAGGCAATAATGTCTGCAATCTCAACTTTATAAACTGGACTCAATATATTATCTGTAAAAGAGATTGTTTAAGGATGTTTTCGGGAGTTTTCATATAGACATATAGGCAAAAATAAAACTGTTCAAAAGAATTTCTTGAAACTTGGCATGTTTTTAGAACATGATAACAGAAACATTTTAGTGGTCACCATTCTCGTTTTTGTGTTATGTACCCCTGAATTAGAATTTTCTACTTATTTGAGGTAATTTAAAGGGCAGATAACTTATGCATCTGTAAATGAATTCTTGTTTTTACTTCTGGATAATGTTTTTCTTTATATTGTTGAATACAATACATAATTACATGCAATTCCTTATATCGTTTCTGTTAATTTTTTTCAATGAAAATAAAGGTACTTTAAATTCATAAAAATAGGTCAATTTTTAAGAAAAAATGCACAGGTTAAGAGAAGAAGTCGGGTAAAAAAAATATCCACTCTTAATTTGTTCTTGAAATTTTGCATAGTGACTAAAACGAAGGTAAGCTTCGTGAAAATAAGAAGAAAAATATGGATTGTTGCATTTCATTGTAAATTATCTGCCCTTGAATTTAACAAAATAGTCCAATTCAAGGGCAGATAACTCCAAAATGAGAACGGTGACCCAAATTTTTTTTTGTTTAAAATGCTTCTGTTATCATATTCTAATAACATGCCAAGTTTAAATATTCTGTTGAACAGTTTTAATTTTGCCCATATCTCTATATGAAAACTCTTGAAAATGTCTTTAATTTCACTTGGTTTGCTTTTAGTTAGAATTCAAGAAATTTTATATCATAAAAAGAATAAAAAAGAAACTTTATTTAGATATTTCATCCATCAATCATGTCCTGGGTTGACAATGATATTTGTGCATTTTATGTCTGCTCAGGATAATGTTGTCAAGGTCAAGATTCTTTTGCTTTTCTTCATTGCTATTAACAAGAATCACTTGAATAAATAGTCAATGAAAGTATTACCTTGAAAGTATTAATCTGACCTTGTTCATGTCATCAAGATGTGATGTTAGAATACCTAAATTAATGTTCAGTCCTTAATGAAATGATCAAGCAGAGTGACATAATAACACCATAGAAATACTAAATACTGATGGAAGAAATTGAAAAAAGTACATGTAGTTTAAAATATTTTATTATATTTAGTTCTTATTTTTGCCATATTATGTATATATTGCGTTGATAACATAACCTGCAGTATTGTGCTAAATGTGGTGGTAATGTTAAAATGTTTACTTATACTCATATTTTGGAGCTATTTTAGATAATGGTTTTATATTTTCTTAATGGCATGTAGCATGGTGAAAGTTTTGTTTGTTCTATTTGAAAAATTTATTTGCAATAGCATATACATGAATAACGTTTATAGTTTTCTTTAAGTGAACTTCTTCAGTGTACCTTAACTATATGAACTGATTAACTGATTGGAATTGTTGAGATAAGAATTCTGAACCAGTGAATTAATATGTATTCCTTATTAAGATGTTATATTGTTGTTTTATGGAATAATTTATTTAGTCTTTATTTATTCAAGTATTTTAAAATTCTGTTCAAATTAAACATTTACTTTTATGTGAAATCAGATCCTATCATATAGGAATTATTATTTGATCGTTTTAATTGAACTGCTCTAATTCATCAATACCTGATTTGTAAAGTACACAAAAGATATTTGTTTATAAATGACTAAAATTAAACTTTTGGAAAATAAAAATTGAACATTGGCAAAAAATAATCTCCTGTCATAATTGTAATTAATTAATGATGATAATATTTACAATGAGATATTAATTGTGTTACAATATATGATTATAGAACAATGAGAAGAGGGAGGCGATCAGAAAACGAGCCCAAGAGTTGGCTGAACAGAAAAAACAGAGAAAAGCATACTCTACGCCACTGTATACATCATTAACTGAGAGAAGTAAACTTTGTTTTTATATATTGTACTTTCACTTTTGCAGAACATTTTTAGCTTGACTTTTTGGAGAAACATTTCGAGCTATTGTTACAGTCAGGTTTTTGCTCCCTTTGCCATTGCTGCTGCAAGACTTTAAAGAAGATTTAATTGAATATGACCTTAACCTTAATTTGACCTTGACACTACATACTGTGTGAGCAGTATTCAATTTTGTGGAACTTGTTTTTGAATGGACAAAGGGGTCTCCAAAACTCATTTTTACATTGATCACAAGACATCTTCATTCTTGTAATTTGCAATGTATATTTTTCAATGTTTTGGCCACAAATTAATAATGAAAAAAAACAAACAAAAGGTACCATCTATGCAAGTTTTGGTACTCCGTGGTAGTTGAAATGATGAAGTACTGTATTATAAACAGTAGATATTGATCTTATATTGATCTTGTGAACTCTTATACAAGTTAGATATTAGAATTTGACAACTTTTAATAAGATGCACAATTCTTATTGTGAGTATCAAGGTCAATATACTTAACATGCCAACAATTTGACTTGCTATTTAAACAGCATGCTATAAATATAACAGTACACTCAGAGGCACTGATAACCCGACACTAACATTTTTCGGTATAAATTGGTTATATGTGAACAGATTTTGTTCAACTTTTGAACATAGAAAATTCAACATATCATACTTACTACTTAGAATTTTATTTACAATTCATTGACAACAAAATAGAGAAAATAACAAAACAAATATGCTACTGCAAAATGAAAAATCACAGAATGGCTGTAAATATCATATCAAAATGAAAAGTTTCTGAATCCCAGTAAATCTGTATGTTAACCAGTTATTATCATTTGTGTGTCCTCCCGTGTCTATAGCAAAGTGTAAACACCTGTCTCATGATTATGACATGGTTTCTCATGAAGGCTTGGGAAATATTTCTGAATAAGGGTTTCCTCGAGTTCCAGCAACTCCTGCATCCCAAATCACCAGATCGAAACATCACACTTGACGGCTGAATTGAACAGGCATGTGAGAAAGCGACCAAAAGCCCCTTGCAATTTGCTGGAACTCAGCAAGCCCTTGTTTAGGAATAGAGAACTGTGAGGCAGTGGTGTTAACGTTGTTATAGCCAATTGGGAAGACATTCAAAGTGTTATAATTGGTTCACATACAGATTTAGTGGGATTCAGATAATCATCATTATATTACGATTTTACAGCCATTTTGTGATTTTTCATTTTACGGTTTTGTTATTTTTTTTATCAATGAATTGTAATTATGATTCTAGGCAGTAAGATTGATATGTTGAATTTTGTATGGTCCAAATTTGAACAAAATCCGTTCACAAGTTACCTATTTATACAGAAAAATGTAAGTGTCGGGTTATAAGTGCCTCTGAGTGTATACAAAGTGCATTTGTCGAGTACATGCATTATCTCAGTGATTTAAGAATGGTAAACCCCATAGATTGTTATAATGGTTTGCCAATTTAAAAATTTCTATAAGAGATCTCTGGAGAAAAGTATAGCCAATTATCAGAATGCTGTTTCATTTCTTCAAAGTGATTTCCATAAATATTTGAATATGTTGAAAATGAGTTACTTGCATGCATTTATCATGTATTTATACACCTACATATCTGTGATGTATGTTATCTAACAGAGCAGAATCTGAAGCCCCACATACAGAGCAGTAGACACCATTCCTCATTACCAGTCTCGCCAGTACAAAGAAAGGAGAAAATTCCCTCACCTAAAGAAGTATGGCAAGCGGCGGATCATTCAATAACAGAGAAGAGACCATCCCCATCACCTGTACCAATGAAGAGGGAAATATCTATAAAACTTGTCTCTCCAACACCAGAAGGTTTACTTTACTTTATAATAAAATATTGTGTTTAATTAACAATGCTTTTATTAAATGTTTGTAACATTATTGTGCTCTTTTTGGTCTTTGTTGCGGAGAGAGACAGATCTCCATGGGATATTCAATTGTGATGTATATTATGTAATATGTGTTGTGCAGTACCATGAAGATAACAATTTTAATTATAAATTTTATACGCCCGTTTGAAAAACGGGACGTATTATGGGACCGCCCCTGGTGGGCGGTCAGGCAGGCGGCGTCCAATTTTGTCCGGAGCATATCTCCTACATGTATGGAGGGATTTTAATGAAACTTCATAGAAATATTCACCACTATGAGGAGCAGTGTTGCGCACATGAACCAGGTCTTTAGGTCAAAGGTCAAGGTCACACTTAGAGCTCATTGAAAAATGCTTGTCCGGAGCAAAACTTCCACATGTATAGAGGGATTTCAATATTACTTGGAACAAATGTTCACCATTGTGAGGCGGAGTGTCGCGCGCACGATTCAGGTCCTTGCGGCCAAGGTCAAGGTCACACATAGAGGTCAAAGTTCAGATAAAAATATGAAGATGTGTATATGGACCATTTAGTCATCATTTATTGAGGGACTGTAACACAAATGGTCATTATCAAGACTATGGCTGTGATACATATAATTTAGGTCAATATATACAAGGTCAAGGTCACTAAAGATGATGAAATATCCAGATTTTGTCCGGAGCATATCTCCTACACGCATGGAGGGATTTTAATGAAATTTCATAGAAATGTTCACCATTATGAGAAGCCATGTCATGCACATGAACTAGGTCTCTAGGTCAAAGGTCAAGGTCACACGTAGAGCTCATTGAAAAACGCTTGTCCGGAGCAAAACTTCCACATGCATAGAGGGATTTAACTTGGCACAAATGTTCACCATTGTGAGGCGGAGTGTCGTGCACAAAATTCAGGTCCCTGCAGCCAAGGTCAAGGTCACACATAGAGGTCAAAGTTTAAATAAAAATATGAAGATGTGTATAGGGACGATTTAATCATCATTTATTGAGGGATTGTAACACAAATGGTCATTATCATGACTACGGCTGTGACACATGTACTTTAGGTCAATATATGCAAGGTCAAGGTCACTAAAGATGGTGAAATATCCAGATTTTGTCTGGAGCATATCTCCTACATGTATGGAAGAATTTTTATAATACTTTATGGAAATGTTCACCACCATGATATGTATTGCTCCATGCATGATCCAGGTCTCCAGGTCAAAGGTCAAGGTCACACTTACAGCTCATTGGAAAACGCTTGTCCAGAGCAAAACTTCTACATTCATAGGGGGATTTCAATATAACTTGGCACAAATGTTCACCATTGTGAGGCTGAGTGTCGCACGCAAAATTCAGATCCCTGCGACCAAAGTCAAGGTTACACATAGAGGTCAAAGTTCAGATAAAAATTTGAAGATGTGTATAGGGACCATTTAGTCATCATTTATTGATGGATTGTAGCACAAATGGTAACTATCATGACTACAGGTGTGACACATTTAATTTAGGTTAATATTTACAAGGTCAAGGTCACTGGAGATGATTAAATATCCAGATGTTGTCCGGAGCATATTTTCTACATGCATGGAGGAATTTTAATGTTACTTTATAGAATTGTTCACCACCATGAGACGTAGTGCCCTGCACATGAACCAAGTCTCTAGGTCAAAGGTGAAGGTCACAGTTAGAGCTCATAGAAAAACGCTTGTCTGGAGCAAAACTTCTACATGCATAGAGGTATTTCAATATAATTTGGCACAAATGTTCATCATTGTGAGGCTGAGTGCCGTACATAAAATTCAGGTCCCTGCGACCAAGCTCAAGGTCACACATCCTGTGCATATCTTCCCTACTGATTTGTTTTAAGGTTCATTTAACAACACAGTGCCAAGAATAAAAACTTGCTTGCTAGATAACACTTATCCATAATGCCCCCATCTCCATCTAAAGCTTTCGTAAACGGGCGTATTTTGTGACTATGGCACCCTTGTTTTCCATTTAAAAAGGAAAAATCATATTTATTTGTTTGACCAAAAAATTAGCAAGCTTACCAAGTCTTACTTTTCATTAGAGATCAAATGAGTTTACAAGATTATTTGTATATTGTCAACGAAACAGTTTTAATATTATGTTTCAGCATATGGCATATGTGTTTTATGAACACATTTAATTGAAGCATGTGTTGTTTGTATTTCAGATGAAGTTAAAGATGAGGAGGATGATAAAGACAAGTTGTCCGAGAAAAAGGTCACTTTTATAGATGAGGGGAAAAAAACTACGCCAAAATCAAGTAAGATAAAGAAAGGTAATATCTGAAATATTTTATTTCAGGTTTTTCAGTTATTGAAATGTTGTCAGTTTATCTGTTTTAAAGATTTGTGTATTTCTGTCGAACACTTTACTCAAGCTATTTAGACCTTTAAATAACAAAAACTATGTACACTTTTTAATGACAAAAAGAAAATAATATTACAAAATATATGTTAAAAAGGATACATAAGGATACAAGAATAAATAAATAAAAGTGTAAATTCTCATTTGAATTCAAAAAAGTGTTTGGCAGAAATGAAAACGTAAATCAAAAAGGATTTTTTATTTGACTAAAAATATTTGACTGTTCAAAAAGTTTCTTTTCATTTCTAACAATTACAGGGTTCTTGAAAGTCCTCTGACCACCAGACATGGCTGGTAAAATTTCAGTCGGTCTGGTGAAGCTTTTAGAAATATTACATTAGATATAGAAGAAAATATTTTTATGGTCTGGTAAAGCCTTGAGCTCTTTCATGATCTCTGCCTTGACAGAATTTCTCACCAAAAGGTTTGACAGCTTTTTTATTTCAGTGGAATAGAAAGCCATATTTTCTTTAAAACAGACAGGTAAATCCCTAATGTGTTTAATATGATGTATTAAATTGATATTTCTGTACAAGAAGATGAGGACGCTGATAGTATAAACAGTGCTGACAAGGAAGAAGAAATGAGACTAGAGGAGCAACGTCTGATAGAATCTCTCGAAAAACAAAGACTATTACAACAACAGGAGCAGCAAAAACTGCTTGAAGAGGAACAGAGGAAAGAGAAAGAGAGAAAAGAAAAAGAACGAATAGCAGAAGAAGAGAGATTAAAAAAAATGAAGGAGTCGCATAATATGCATAAACAACCATTGTCAACGCAGAATCAGAATCATGATAATTATTATGAGAATACGATGAATGCCGCAGGTACACCTTGTATCATTGTAGATGTGTCGTGTATATTCATTATTTTGTAGACTTAATCTTAGAACAATATTTAAAATGTCTATATAGATGTGTTTTATTCCTTGTTTTAACTGTCTATTTTTGGCAATTGAGATAACTGCTACTGATATTTTTCTCTGGTATCTATCTGTGTTACTTCCCTTGATTTTAATGTTTTTGTTGTTGATTTGGTGATCTGCCTTTTTTCAGCAAAAAATTATGTCTGTGATTTTAATATGTAGTAAATGAGTATAATTAACACTTTATATATGATTTTCATTTACCTTAGTTAGAAGATATAGATTTTAAAAACTTAATCCTCTTAGTTGAGTAAATAGAAATTATATATAATAATTCCATTCTATATTATAATCATATATACTGCAGTTATATATTCTTGCATATCAAACTGGCGGTTCCGTTTGTTTTACCAATGCCGGAAATTTTATGTTAGCACATTTTATGAACAAACTGCATTAAAATTTTGTCATTTCATCGCATTTTAAAATGAAACTGCATGTCTAGGATGGTATTATTTTGCATTTCAGAATGACATTGTAAATTTATATGCTTTTGTAAGAAAATTATAAGTTACAAGTAAAATAACATTCATTTCCATGAAAAATATTTATTGAGGTAAACATTTAATATATAATAGAATATGGTAGATTATGCAAGAAAAATATCTGACATGTGTTTGTGGTTCAGATTGGTATATCAATCCCCCTCAGGAGGGATATTTCGATCCTGATCGCAGCAATATGACAGATATTATTATTCTGTAAGTTAGTAAAATAACAACTTAGGCTGTAATGAACTCCTTTTATGTACAGTATCCTACATAACATCATATATTTATTCTTTTTTTCTCTCTCTTTCCCACCTACCAAACAGATCTGATATTTTCACAAAATTCTCAGGATAAAGTTGAAAATGAAGGAAAAGTTAATAAAAGCAAAACTAAAACTGAGGAATTTGATTTGAGGAGTGAATCTCAAAAGACTGAACCAATCAGTTCAGGTGAAAACATAAATGATTTGAAAAATAATAAATCCAAAGAAATAACATCGAATTCTGCTGACGCAATACCAGTTCCTCCTAAAACACCGAAAAGTACTGAAAAGTTACCAAAAGTGAATGACAAATCTAAAATGAAAAGTAGTTCTTCAAAATCGAGTGACTTTAAAAAGACGCAATCTGCTGAGAAAAGTAAAAATGCTGTGAAAATACCAGATGGTTTGGGTAGGATTGAGGAGGGTTTGGAGCGTGAAGGCACAACTGATAATGTGAAGGTGTCACATGGTGAGTAAGGTCGCATGTCCATTGGTAACACAATACTACCCTGTAAATGGAGAAATAAACTTACCTTGTCAATCCTGTAGAATAGAAAATTGCATGTATCAGTGTAAGAAATGTAAATTATTTAAATGTTAAACAGAATACACAGACGGTATTCTCACATACACAGACTGTATTCTTACAATGCATGTTAATTATAAGATATAAACTACATTATCGGATATGTAATGCTGCAATTTGTTGCTGAATTAATGCATGATTTCCAAAGAAGTATATGTTGTTTTACAGGACATGCTGAATGTTTTAAATGCCTTGTGTGACATTATCTTTGAAAATCATATGATTGAAACACATGACAATTATTAATATATCACATTTTGTTTTCCCCAGTAAGTAGAGCTAAAAGAATTGACCTTATTAAAAAAAAAATGTGGTTAAATTTTTAAATGCTTATGTAGATAGAGTTATTTCCCCTGTCAAGTGTTACCATAGAACAGAAAAAAGTTGTGTGCTGTGAAGTTGGGCTTTAGACAATTTGCTTTAAAATAACTTACACTGCTTGACTATCACGTTATTGTCATACATCATGATGCTGTAATATACAGAATAAATGTGTTATTATTTTTATTAACTCACTGGAACTAAAGGTTCTGTGTGAGCTGTCTGGAAAGTGTGATGTCTGTGGTCTGTCATCTACACCTTAACTATGAATGGTCTGATTTATATTTGAGTAGAAATCTTGTATTGTTTTTCATTCTGACACTGTCTTGGCCTCAAGGCTGTAAAACATTTTCCTCAAATCTGTGTTAAATCTCAGGATTTTCATTGGTCAGTATACATTCTGTGCCAGTTTTTGACCAATCATATACTTGAGATCTGAGTTTGAGCTGAGAAAATTTCTTTATAACCTTTGACCTTGGTCTCTGAGCTGAAAAATAGGAAATACCTCTCATTGTACAAGTGAATGTATAATGTCACCAATCTCGTTATAAGTTTTCGGAATGCCCAAATCTTAAAGTTTTCCTGTATTGATAGCATTGGCCTTGATTGGAGCTAAAGGATATTTAAAACATTTATTGAATGACTCTATAAACCTGGTAAGACAAAAAAGACACTTTTTACTCATATAGAATATAGATCAGACATCACTAAACTAGGTTTTGTTGGATCAAGTCTTTTCCCAAATGTTTTGCATGAATTATATTCATGTTTCACTGATATTGTGGTGAGCGACTTAAAGCCGTCTTGTTTTTGAATTTCACAGTTTTTACACAGAAAATGAAGTTTACAATTATAATATTGTGATGAAAGCTGTTTGTGAAATAATCACCTTTACAAGTCACTGATTGAAATTGTACACAGAACTGCCACTTTCTTACAGAAACTGTCTAATGAAGTTTAGACTAATGACTTTGTATAGATAGTCAAACATTTTCCTAATTTGAAATATTTTTTTCCATTTCATTGGTATGGAGCAGTGATTCAAACTTTTAAAATTTTGTTTTATTAACCTGTATTGTTTAAAGTGATTAAAATAATTGAAGATGATTGTGAAAAATTAGAAGAGTCTTTAATTAAGCTGTTAATTAAGTACAAAGAACATTCCCCTGTGTAGGAACATAAATAACATATGATATAAAACTTATTGATATTTATTTTGTAAGTATAATATACATGTATAATATTATATATGTTGATATTGTGTGAAATATATTTAACAGGGACATATAGTAAAATATATAAAAATATAGACAGCTTTATATACTTGGACAATCCTAGCACATAAACAAACACCTTTTGAAAAATTATTTGAGCCGCGTCATGACAAAACCAACATAGTGCGTTTGCGACCAGAATGGATCCAGACCAGCCTGCGCATCCATGCAGTCTGATCAGGATCCATGCTGTTCGCTATCAGTTTCTCTACTTGTAATAGAGTTGGGAAGTGAACAGCATGGATCCTGATCAGACTGCGCGGATGCGCAGGCTGGTCTTGATCCATGCTGGTCGCAAACGCACTATGTTGGTTTTGTTGTAACCCGGCTGATTTATATGTTCGTATTACATTCAAATTTGTCTTAATAATAAATAATATTTCAATATTTTTATTACACTTTCTTGAAAAGAAATCTGCACAAACTAATTCAAACAACCAATTCCTATTGTTTAAACATTGCTCAAAATAATTTTGCTAAATAAAGAATAGTAGATTGTGTAGAATATACATTCAAGTTTTATATTTGTACATAAATGAAAATAAATAATTGTCAAAACTAAACTATTTTCTTTCTCTTTTATTTGCAGCTAAAAGAAAAAAAGGTATGACTATTTTTGTTTTTGTTTAAAATCTATACTATTCTTGAATATCACAAAATCTTTTTATGTGATACACCTTAAAGATGTTAAGGATAAACTGTTAAATTTCTTACTCTGATTAGTTGTAGAGAATATTAAAAGACACTGATGAATAAAAGTCCATTGTAAGACTTTTATGCAGTGAATAATTACTGTGACTTTAATGAAAAAAAGGTGGGTAAATTTTGATTTATGTGTAATTTAGTGGCTGATTTTTGCCATGTAGGTGCAATGAAGGTGGCATAAAAGTGAAAGTTGCTACAGCAAAAAACAACAGTCACTGCTTTCCATCTTAAATATTTTTGGCCAATCATGTGAAAACCTTTGTTTGTCAGTAATCAGCCACTATAATGTTCCTGTTTAAAAAATCATGGTAATATTTAAAAAAAAATGCTTGTTACTTTACACATTAACTAGAGAATTAATTTTTTCTCTGAAGTAGGAATAAAAATGTAATACATGAATAAGATTTAATTTACTTTCAGTTTATTATAAGTATATTCTAACAATTATTGAACTGATTATTTCATGTATGTAAAGTATGGTAAATGTTTTTTTCTGTCTGTACAGGTAAAGCCAAGACTCAATCAAAGCCAATTAAAGTAGAGAAAGCACCAAAGAAACCTGCTAAGAAAGTAGTGGAAGAGAAACCACAAGGTAAAAATTTTATCATCTTTTTACTTAGGAATTTTACCCATTTGTTTCATGTATTCTATTACAGATAGAGTACTGATTATATAGTCTCCATCAGCAGGTGGGTATTTTTGTAAAGGAAAAGACATGTCTTGTTTTGGTTTTCCAGATCATGCCATGTTTTATTGTAGATCTTTTACCTCCAATACTTTAAATTGCACTTTCAGTAAGGCACCAAAATTAGTACTGCATTGTTTCCATAGAAATTGAAGTAAAGACATCAACTGACAAAAACTTTATCAGGCAGGGATGGAACATGATATAAATTTAAACCAAATTGTACATTTTTTGAGAGAATGAGCAATGCATTGTGTTCTTGTTTGAAAGAAAAAAAATACCTAATGCATGAGTTGATTGTAACCAATGCCCCTCAGCCTCAATAAATAGTGGGGATATTGATTTAGGATTCTCAAACCCCTGGGCTGCTCTGATTAGAGACAGGGTTGATTAATTAAATTCATCCTAAAAGTCCCAGCACTGAGATTTGGACATATTCCTGGCCAATTTAGCTCCAAAGCAAATATCCAACACTCCGGAAGGCAGGGACAGACAAAAAGCCAAAGCTTGGCTCATTCTTCCATATATCCACAGCCATTTCAATGGTTGGGTGGGCTGTAGTTACAATTAACTGGTGCATTATTGAAAATATATCATATAAATAAAACAGAAAACTAAAGCAACTCACTTAATGGTATCAGTGCATTTTAAATGCAATAAGTGAATTAGTGTTTCATATAGGTGAAAACTCAAGTTCTTTAATATTTGTTTGATTTAGACAATGTGGTAAATAGTGTGAAATATGTAAAACCAAGCAAACCTCTAGATGAAGACAAAGAAAAGAAAATAAATACAAAGACTACCGATAATAAAACAAAAGCAAGGGAAAACCTTGTTAAAAAGTTAAAACATGATGATGTGAAAGGTATAATCACAGAAAACACATGTCTCATTGTCAGAGAATTTTAATCACCAAATATTTGTGTCTATTATTTTTGACAACTCTAGTCACAATCTATATACATGTATAGTCACAATGTAGGGTTTTGTATCTTATAACAAAACTGTAATGAATACTTGTGAATCTTTGACTTAATACATATATATGAGCACAATGAAAGATGTTTTGCACAAAATAAAAATATTAACATAATAAACAGTTTTGCATTAACTCTGATATATATAAATTTTTATATTCAAGTTAAAAAATATGTAATAATGGAATATTACAAATTTTTATTGTGTTTAGTTATTGTCAGTTATGAAAATGAATCTGAAGCTTTTGCTCTGTAGAAATAATTATTTTTTGTCAGCAGTTTCTCGTAGGTTTGTGGAGGGGCTCAGAATTTTTCAATATTTTTGATATTTTTGATGAAGTTACTGTGTTTGAAATATAAATTTGCTTTTATTATGGCAGTGGTGGCAGAGCGCCTATTAATTTTTTTGTCCTTGAGAAAATATCAAGAAGTATTGAATACCAGTTAGAAGTCAATCTATTAAATAGAGTGTCTTTTATAGTTTGATAAGTTGTATTCAATATAAAAATAAGAATCACCATACTAGTACATAATAATTTTAAACAATATTAAATGCTCCTGATCACAAAATATAGTGTCACTTTCATCACATGCTGTATATCAATTCTTTGCTTAACAGGATGCTGTGTTTTAGGTTTTATAAACCATATGCATAGTATAAATAGCTTTATGATATGGATGAATACAGGAAAGTGTTGAACTTTGAAGCTGTTAAATTCTGAGAAAAATAAAGCATGAATTAACATGTATAATATAAATGTTAAATTTTCTGTATGCATTTTGCCTATGTCTTTAAACTTATATAAAACATAGATTAAAAAATTTACAGCACAAACAAGAGATTTAGATCCAAAATAATATTTCTGTATTATTCTACTTACTTTCTATAACAGCAATACAATTATTACTCTACAATGAAATTATGCTAATCTTTAATTGGTCTATTTTAGATTGAAATCATAAGGAGCATAGAGTACTTAGATTACTAATTACTGTCAAGCCATTATTACTCTTGCAATCTTGTTCATTTTATTCAAGATGTTTCTATTCTAATATCACCAATTTTAAATGTATCAGAACAAATGCAAAAAGTTATACCAAAGCCTAAACCAGAGCCACCAAGTAAACCTATCTTGGCTGGTATTGGAGCCCAGCAGAAGCCTGTAAAAGCCATGGCGCAGGGTGTGAAACCTGAGATGAAAGGTAATATGAAGGTTGTGGTAGACACATGAGCTGGTGTTTTTGCACATTACCTGATGTGAAGTCACATAACCTGGTGTTGTTATCACATAACCTGGTGTTGTAACATGACCTGGTGTTGTTATCACATAACCTGGTGTTGTTATGACATGACCTGGAGTTTTTGTCACATTGTTTGGGCATGGAGCTTGATGTAGATGTTTCACATAATGCACGATTGTTTTAATGTCATCACTATGTTTGTAAAGCAAGGTCTGTATATGCAACATTTGCATGTATGTCACTTGTACTAACTTTGTCATGTTTGGTGGTGTAAATATCAGAATTCACTCATTTTGTATTTAATTTGATTTCAATCATAACTAATAATATGCACAAAATTTTAATCATTGGTTAAACTTCACATAACAAGCATTTCTGTATTTTGTTCATTAGAAGCAAGAAAGGTGCTTATTGTGCTTATGTACATTGTTTAGTTATCATATGATTTATCATGTATTTAGATCTATATAATAAATCATTATCTTTAAATGCTTTGTGTTTAGGTTAAAGAATTATTTTATAAAGTGTTTATTAACTTTTTATTTGGGATTCACTCAAAGGATTTATTTTGGGCTGCATTTATATATCTATGTGCTATAAGGGTAGAGCTTTCTTTATATGTTGATTAGAATACACTTACTCAGGAATGAAGAATATTTTAGGGGTTTTTTTTGCAGCTAACCTAGGGGTACAAACAAACTTGCTGTTACAAATTTGAAAATAAAGTGCAATATGTTGACTAATCTATTGTGATTGGTACTCTGGGTGCACCTTGATGCTATAAAGGCAAAAGTTAATTTGTGATGGGGGATTAGCTTGGAAAAACTCATATTTGCAGTCAGTTCCGGAAAACAACTATTGGCTAAGGCTTAAAGTTTGATTTGTATGCAGATTAGTACTCTGTTATTTGCTGTTTAGTATTGCTTCTGTGGCTAAAGTATATCCTTTGGTGTTCTTTATCATAATCAAGTAGAAAACAAATTATTCATTTTTCAGAGGTTGAAGAAAGTGTCCAAATATAAGAGCTGATATTTTGATTTAAGAACCATGTAAATACTGTGATTGTATCATATAGTTATAAAACCTTTGCGTCCAGATATCAAAAATTAAAAGTACATTTGCTGTTTCTTAAGATTGTTAATATAACCAGTAAAAGATCGAACACTAATCAAGAGACTATGGGGAGCTTGCCTTGTAGATAAGTTGGCTGCCACCCATGTCAGGCATTGTGAATTCAAGCTTTATTTCAGTGTCCAGTCATATATATCCTCAAATATTTGTTAGTTTTGGACTCCAGAGCTAGTTAAATATGCTTAGAGATTTTGTTACAGTCATGTGAAAATATGAATGGTTTTACTAATAAGGCAGACAATCCATTTATTTTAACAATAAAACACACCATCACATTTCGTCTGAGGCATGGACAGGCACATGTCAAATGTCAAGGTCACATACATCAACTATAATGCTGGTATAATTTCATTGTTCTTTTGATATTTTGTTGGAAGCATTGCTTTAAATACAATTAAGGACAACTTTAAGCAACTTGCATATTCAAATAACCATATTTGTATAAAAATAGACTGGCATATTTATTTGTCATGATTATGATATTTTGATTATTGTATTAGAAAATAACAGAGAAAGATATGATGTGTAGGTTTATTTATTTTAGATTATGTCGCAGTTATTAGTGTGATTTTATATTATTTACAGTAGATAAAGAAATCAATTTTATATTGATTAGATCAACATTCCTATCATATGTAAGACAGTTCACCACTATTGCTAGACAACTGGTGATTTTAACATCTTTTTATTGTTAAAAGTTGGTCTATATTCCTTGAAGAAATAAAATTCATTTGAGTAAAAATGATTCTTCACTGATCGAAAACTTATTATAACTTTTATGCAAGACTATAGGTGTCTTAAAATATATGTTGCATGCAACAAGAAAAATATTTCTTAAGCTAATTGTTTACAGTGAAAGTGGCAATTCTTAGTATGTCTTAATTATGCCTCCCTTTGAAAAAATGAGGGTATATCAGCATCTGTCTGTTCTTTGGTCCCTTGGTCAGTAAACCTGAGCCTTGTGGCCAAAAACTAGAAAACACTTTGGCTTAAGATTTGGTGTTAAGGTTGGTAATGACTTTAGGAAATGACCCCTGTTGATTTTGAGGACAGTAAGTCAAAGGTCAAGGTCACTGTGACTTAGAACTAAGACCTAGTGGTATTGTGAAAGGACTGCTACGTTGAAAAAGGGAGATACCTTGAAAGAAATAAAACAGTAAAAATGGCAGATTGATTGTGTCTGTTCATGAGAAATAAATGGAAGATGCAACGACATCTCTCACAAGAGCTCAATATTATTCCAAATGACTTCTTGAAGAACTAAGGTTTAGTTTAATTATGTAACAACTGCTTACAGAACTATAATAATATGACTAAAATGGTATTGTTTTATGATTGTCAGCAGAACTTAGACTCCATGATTTTGGCTATACAATAAATAACTAAAAGCTAAAGATCCTATTATCATTATTGGCATAACAAGATTGTAAATCTTCTATTTTGTAATCAAATAATTTTGATATATTAGAAGTTCACATTGGTACAGATACCTCCTCAAAAGAATCATGACAAAAGAAATTCTGGATGTTAAAGTGTTGTTTTATTATCAGAGATAATTTAATATCCCTGTAGAATTCACTTTTATGTTATAAATCCAACCTCCTGCCAAATGTATAGAAACTGTGAATTCGTTTTTTTTAGCTCGACTTTTCTATGAAAAGGGGAGCTATCCTACTCGCCCCGGCGTCGGCGTCGGCGTTAGCGTTGGCGTCACACCTTGGTTAAGTTTTTCGTACCACCCCACTTTATTTCAGAAGTATTACAAGTATGGCTTTGAAACTTACCATACTTGTTCACCATCATAACCTCCATCTACAGACAAGAGTACATAACTCTGTCAAGGTTTTTGACAGAATTATGGCCCTTTTTTGACTTAGAAAGAGTATTGAGCTTGGTTAAGTTTTTTGTACCACCTCACTTTATTTCAAAACCATTGGAGGTATTGCTTTGAAACTGACCATACTTGTTTACCATCACGACCTTCATCAACAGACAAGAGGACATAACTCTGTCAAGGTTTTTGACAGAATTATGCCCCTTTTTGACTTAGAAAATACATTGAATATGGGTAAAATCCACTTATTGCCTTAACCCTTTGAGATATTGCTTTGAAACTTTTAATGCTATTTCACATCATTACCCCATCTGTACGCAAGAGAAGGTAACTCTGTCAAGGATTTGTTTTAAAAATTAAGGCCTTTTATCGACTTAGAATCTTGGTTAAGTTTTTTGTACCACCTCACTTTATTTCAAAACCATTGGAGGTATTGCTTTGAAACTGACCATACTTGTTTTACCATCACGACCTTCATCAACAGACAAGAGGACATAACTCTGTCAAGGTTTTTGACAGAATTATGCCCCTTTTTGACTTAGAAAATACATTGAATATGGGTAAAATCCACTTATTGCCTTAACCCTTTGAGATATTGCTTTGAAACTTTCAATGCTATTTCACATCATTACCCCCATCTGTACGCAAGAGAAGGTAACTCTGTCAAGGATTTGTTTTAAAAATTAAGGCCTTTTATCGACTTAGAATCTTGGTTAAGTTTTTAGTACCAGTCCACTTTTTGACTGAACTGTTTGAGATATTAATTTGAAAGTTGGAATACTTGTTTACAATCATGATTCCCAAACATGTCCAGGAGAAGGTAATTCTGTCAAAGATTTTATTTGAATTATGGCCCTTAACTGTCAATGTTTTGTATTATAGGCAAGCACTAAAAAAGTCGAGCGCGCTGTCTTACGGACAGCTCTTGTTATTGAGTAGGATCCTAAACCTTAAAGAATTGGTTGTTATTTTAATTGTAAAGAAATGATAAATATTTAATATTTCATTTTCTATTATTATATATGAGCCGCGTCAGGACAAAACCAACAAAATGGGTTTGCGACCAGCATGGATCCAGACCAGTCCGTGCATCCGCGCAGTCTGATCAGGATCCATGCTGTTCGCTTACCAACCCTATTACAAGTAGAGAAACTGATAGCGGACAGCATGGATCCTGATCAGACTGTGCGGAAACGCAGGCTGGTCTGGATCCATGCTGGTCGCAAACCTACTATATTGGATTTGTCATGACGCGGCTCATATAATCTCAACTCTGTACAATAAACAATATTTTTCTTAATATGATACCACTTTTCATTCTCTCTTTAATGTCAGTTTGAATAAATGCAATTTGAAACTGAAATTCTTTTATTTGAGATGTAATTATAAAATTGCCTGAATTAAGGGCATTTATATATTTTTCTATTTATGTTTTTTTTTTACTCAAATGGTTAACATTTAAGACCGTTCATTTTGAATGCAATAATGGTATAGAAATTATAATGCTGGAAGATGAGAAATGTGATTTACGCAGAGATCAATAGCTCCGAGGTACAACAATTATATTGGAAAGTTGATCCTCCATTAAATTTCACTTAGCTGTTTATCTGAGGGGAGATTGGTTGCACCTTACAAGTATTAACCTTCATATTCATCCAAATTTTAGATTTTATATAAAAAAAAAATTGTTAAATTTTAAATAATTGGAATATTTAAGTAGAGGTTTGTGTTTTTGTTTTCTTTTCTTTTTTTTTTATTTTTGCTAGTTTTTCCCTAGTTTTATTATTGAGCTTTTTAATAATTTTTTATACGCTGCAGAAATTGAAAAAGAATGATTAAAGTTCTTGTAAAATGGTTTTGAAAATTACCATTATAATTATGTACCTTTGATAAAATCTTGGACATCATTTTTAGTAAGTTTGCAGTTCAATTATTTTTTTTTTAAAGTTTCTATTAATATTGAAATTCTCTGTTAAACTGTCCAAGAGTAAGTGAAGCTTAGATCTTACTTATCAATAATTACAATAAATATTTTTTCCCTTTGGAAACAACTTCATATAAGTAAAATGTTCAGTTAAGTTTTAGGTTTTTCTGATCAATTTATAGTCATATTCATACTTGAATGTATTGTTATTTTAATGATTAATGACATTATTGATATGTTTCAATTTCAGCTTTCGGACAGCTATCTACAAAAACTTTAAAAAAAACAACTTTGTACAACTAAGTTAATCAGGGCAAAAAAAACTTCCTAAGTTATTAGCAAAATAAAATAACTTCTTGAAAAACATAATTGTTGGCATTTCGTTAAAATATTGTGGACATTTTTTTTTTCTCAATTATTTCTTCTACGGCTGTAATGATAGGGTACCAGTTTGATATTCTACAGTATAAAATGACATCAAAAACTTCATCAAAAACTAATAGAAATTTTGGAACCATTGCTTATTGATTCCAATACAGGTCAATTCAACATAAATACAGTATATTTTTTTAGAAAGATTAAAAGTTTTTTATCATTGAATAAAAAAAAATTTAATTCTATTTTAGACACTTTTAACTATTGTATGTGATATTTGACACGTTAAAGAATGATGATTACAGTATTTTTATAGTTTCCTTTACTCTTATTGTACCAGGTCTTTACAGCTTATACCCTTTCAGAACTTGTGACATGGCTTTTCATGACAGCCTGTAATTTTGTTTGAAGAGATTACATTATCCTCTCACTACAATTTACAGTAAAAGCTTTGTCTGAATGCTATCGGATAATTGGTAGGAACATGTGCTCTGTTAATTGTTATATTACATGCATTTAGGAATTCAGCTCCACTGATTTCACTTTGATGTGTGTTAATGGCTGTGAAATGTCAATTTGTGTATCATGGTTTGATTTGAAATGTTGAAAGAAAAACAGTAAAAAATTCCTATATCCAATGAATGATTTTTTCAAACTTAGGCCTAAGCAAGCTGATGTGCAGAATTCATTCATCTGCTGTGCTGGCTCAAGGTGAAGGTCACATTCGAAGGTCAAATGTCAGATGGTTTTGTGTCTGCTCTATATATAAGTCCTTTATACAATGAAAGGATTTTTCGTAAGTCTTGGCTTAATGTTCACCTCAGCAAGTTGATGTGCAGGACTGGTAGCTGTTGTGTGGCTCAATGTGAAAGTGACACTTGAAGGTCAAATGTCAGAGAATCATGTCTGCTCAATGAATCCTTTATCCGTGGAAGTATTTATGTTTAAATCTTGGCTTGACATCTCAGCAAGGTGATGTGCCAAACCTATACTGTAGCTGTGCTGCCTCGAAGGTCAAGGTCAGATGTCGGGCTTTTCATGTTGGCTATATACCCATTGAAAGATTTTTTTCAATTTTAACCCAAATGACTTAAATGTTTCCTTTAACAAAATGATGTGCAAAACTCATGCTGCCACTTAGCTGCCTTAATGTCAAGGTCACAGTTAAATGGTCAAATATAAGACAGCTTTCTCTGCTCAAAAGATATCATACTCCTTGAAGGACAGCTTTTAAGTTAGTTCAAATTAATGTTCACTTTAGAAAATTATGATAATGGCATAAATATAACTCTGTGTTATACAGATGGTGGGGGTATTTGTCAATTCTGTAACAGCTAAAGTTGGAACTACATGACTATAATCACATTAAGAAATTATACACCATAACCTAGTTGTAACTATTTGATTAGTTTTAAAAGCTTTTTCAATTAGGTTATATTGCCCACTTTAATATTAGTACAATAATGCTTGGAGATGTAACTAATATGCCATCTTTCATCAGTATTGCTGGAAAGCCATCATATAGCCATAACATTGTCAATTTAGCAATACATTCAGTCAAAGGAAAACTTTCTTTCATTTGCAAGAGTAAATTTAAGTTAGTGGAGCGTTTAAACCTATTCAAACTGTCTTGTATCATTTAAAACTGGAATCAATTAGATTGTATCAGTATTGTAATTTTGAAAGTGACAATGACAGAATGAAAGCAGATATTTTTTGTCTGGGAGTAAACCTTGGTGTAATAATACAGGCATTTATGATGCTTTATTGATTGAAATGATATCTTGATATATTGAGCAATTTAGAGTTGATTAGAATAAATAACCTAGACATCGATCTGGAGCTGTATTTATAGAATATTTCAATATTATTAATGGTGTTTTGGGATATAAGGAAACAGTCATTTATTCAAGTGGATGTTGATGTTATTATTTGAATATTAATTGACAATATTTGTAATACCTGCATATAAATGTATATTATTTTGTCAAAAGGTTGTTAATAACTTTTTTTAATGATATTAATTAGATAGTCAGATATTCAAAGATATGTTTTTAGATTCTATGATTATTGAATTTAGTTATTCTGTTTGGTAGTTTTAGGAGAAATACTCTCAAAATACTTATTTAATTTTAAATGACAGACTTATGAAATATCTTTGATTTAAAATGTACAAGACAATACAATAACTTTCTATTATGTAGTTAAATTGTATTTATGGTGTTTTAGTCAGTCATAGGTAAAACTACATTGAAAATCTTAATAGTATTATTAGATTCTCTTAAAGTTTTATTGTAGCATAATTTTAACTATAATTGTTGACTGTGATTTATTATTAGTTTCAGAAGAAAAGTTACCTGTTAGCAAACCTGCAGATATTGAGCCAGTCACAGAGGAGGAAATTATTAAACCAAAGGTATACTTCATTATTTTATTCCTACTGATACATGCAAGATGCTTAAAATAATCATTGTCTGATACCCGCGGTTGATTAACAAAAATTGTAGGTTTGCCCGTGGGTGTCTGATGATATTATGATGTATTTATCATTTTAATGATTTCTAAGACCAGTTTTACTGGTATACCTTTTATAATATGCAATGATTTTCCTGTATTTTGAGCAACAGGCATGGAATGCATAATGTTAAATGAATAGCAGTAGATAAAAGGCGAGGTTTTACACAAGCTTAAATTAGCTACGAATGAATGGTGTAACACCACAGCTATGCACTGCATAATAATATTTAAATTTCTATGCACTGCATTAGAATATTTAAATTTCTTCAAAATGTACTAATTTCCTAGTTTCTAAGGGTTCAAAGAGGGATGATAGAAAAATTAAATTTTATGACAGTGCAATGAACAGCTTTAACACCAATGTGCTTTGCCCAATTCAAAACAGTGCCCCTTTAGATGGAGCCCACATGATTGTTTTACCCATGATTTAATTCAGCCTAGTTCCCTGATAACGTTTTCGGTAAACTATCCTCATTACATGAAATCAGACAGTTGCATAGTCAATTATTTGTATACTGAGATAAGAAAACATTGTCATTCCATTCTACAAAAATGTAAATAAAAATTGTTTTGCAACAAAGAAAAAAATTTAAAATGGGTCCCGAAATGTTATGTTGATGTATGTGAATATTTTTATATACTTGTACTGTTATTGAGGAGTCACGTTATAAATTGTCATTCCCTGGTTAATCATGTGTCTTATTCAAAATCATATAAGACTAGCTGAATCATATAGCATATTTGGGCATCACTCATAACTCACAGAGGTGGTCTGAGCTATTTCCTCCTATTTTTGGCATTAAATCAGAACTGTGAAAATCTGCAAAATTTATTTAAGAAATGTAAAATAAATCTCTTAGTCAAACAGATGGCTAATTGGAGAAATTACTTTCCACTAATTTATTGAATTGAACTGTTAGTGTATTCTCTATTGTGTTACACAGTTATAGTAAATAACATTTATGTACATATCAAATTACTGTAAATTAACTATAAATTTACTTTATTGATTATAACAAGCTGTATTACTTTGTACTCCTTTTTTCTACTTAAACCTATTATTATTCATTATAATAGATTTTTCTTTTTTGATTTCTTTTAAAATGCCGTACAAATATCCAGCTTTATCGGATGAAATCATGAACATTTTCCCTTTTAAATAGAACTTTTAAGCAATAACTGGGATTTAAATATCATTGATACAATAAATTAGGTTTTTCATATATTTTGACAACTGTGATGGGCTGTTTGATTGACTTTTAGATCCTTAACAGTTTAAATTCTTAAATGAATTTATTTACAATAACAGTACATGTGTATGTGCAAGAAATGGTATTTGTCACTTTTCTCCCTAAATTTGCCAAAGGTGATCTGGTCATTGTGTGGTCCAGCCCAAAGATATAATAAAGGGTCAAAATGATGACTTATTTCATGTCTGTTAACACACAAACACACCTAATTGTATTTTCACAATAGTTTGAAAAGTGTTTAAAAACATTTTTATAAATTCCTACTCCTATTTTCATAAATTGTACAATTACATCAATAGAGAACAGTTGAAAAGGTAATGATTGTCGTAGATTGTCGTCAATAATTTTGTTATGTTGATAAAAGTCAATTTAAATCTCTTGGTCGCTGTTCTCAAATGGACATTTAAACTTTAACGCATTACAAATATTATCTTTATTAGCAATGTTATTTTTATGATCTGTTGACCTAGGATTGCAATGGGAGGTAAAAAGTTTGACAAACATGAACTTTCATTTAAGACAATTTCTATAATCGTGATTAGCTTTCTAAATGTTAGGTCTGCAAAATCATCATTATTTTTTTTGATAAATTGTAATTTTCGAAATGTTTTTTTATCAAGGGCATACTGTTTTAAATTTTTAATAATATTGAAAAAATATGTTTATATTATTAATAATACATCTGGATAGTTGTCATAAATTTATATGTGAACTAATAATGTCACAATTTGAAAGTTGTATGTAATATTTAAGATTTTTATATGACTTTTTTATCAGTCACCAGCAAATGAGAGAGGAAAGAGCATTGTAGAACAAAGGGAGATTGTGAAGAAAGAGAAAAGAGATGGTAGAAAATGTGTGAAAAAAAGTGAAGAAACAACTAAACCTCTTCCAGAACTTGAAGTTGATGCGAAAAAAGTTGACCCTTGGATATTTGATCAAGACGATTTCTCAGAGAAGAAAGATCTAGGGAAAGGTAAAGACTAAGTGCAGTTATGTTACCATGTATACTGTTGTTTGAATGCATGTTCATCACCTTAGTGCAGTAACAGGTTAACTCCTATATAATTATATAAGGAGTTTCCTAATCTAAACTTGATTATCTTTTAGAATCCGTAACTTCTGAAGTGACTGTATATATTGAGGATTTTTTTAGGTGATTTTCCAGAACCAATAAGCTAAAAAAGTCGCCATATAACCATCAAAAGTTGATATATATGTCAAGCCAAAACAAAGATGTATGTATTATTTTAGTTCAAACTTATCAATTCAAAACGTCACGTCCATAATCATTCTACTTTATGTTCTCATGGTTTAATTAATAAATATTTCAGAGGATTTACAAGTAGAAATAGAGCCACTGCCAGTATTATCTGGAGATTTAAATCCTGAATTAATAGAGAAAGAGAAAAAGGAACGTAAAGAAAACAAGAGAAAATCTGTACTAGCTAGCTTAATTGGTAGTGAAAAAACAATTAAAAAGTGGAGAAAACCAGGACATCTAGATAGTTCATATGCTGATGAATTACGGAGACTAGAATTAGCTGAAGAGAGGAGGAAAAGACAAATGGAGATGTTTGAACGATTAAAAAACAGACGAGTGTCAAATTTTAGTGATGCCTTTGATGATGGGTCACCAAGATTTGAAGACTGTAAGTTAATTACTAGTTTTTGTTAAAAGTTGGATTTATACTTAAAGATATTATACAGTTTATGACAGTACTGTTCTGATAGTTGTTATGTTAAAAAAAAATGAAGTTCTAATTAAACACATGCAGTCAAATGTTTTTGTCAGATGGTTAAATATGTTACAACATTGTATTTAAGTAACTGGCAAAGGTTTTTGTGTAGTAAATCTTGTTTTAACTCGAAAGTTTATATTCAGTGTTGTAATACATGTAATGTTTCATTAAGGTAAGATAAAAAGTAGACCTATGTCTGGTGAGTGCAGGCTAGACTTTGATGGTAAGTGTTGTGAATGGGTTGATTTTCAGGAAACTTAGGCATCTGAATTGCAATGACATTCTATCTTGTTTGATCATTCATTCTTTTCAAAATACTTTTCTTCTGATTTATATAGATATGAGAGTTGATTGTGTATACTAACAGATGTTATATAGATGCTTTATAATGCTCACGCTTTGAGAGAAAGTTTGGATGATTTGTTTTACAGCAGAGTGATTGTACATGTATTCTCTGTGGTTTTAATAGATGTTGTTTATTATTGAAGATAGCACCAAAGTTTTATCAGAATTTGCACATTGTCACATGAAGAACTAGTGCATATAGTGTGGTAGTATATATAGCTGGTGTGTTGGACTGCAGTGTCTGGTTTCTATGTCGACATCACAAAGTTACAAATTATTTGTAGTTTCAGTTGCATTGTGCTCAGCTAGAATTTTCTTTCAATAACTGAGCAAATATGATTATTATACCTCCACAAACAAAGTTTAGGGGGGTATATAGATGTCAGCTTGTCAGTCGGTCGGTCAGTCTGTCCGTCTGTCATCAGTCCACATCCAACTACAGTTTGGAATGAGGTATTTTAACCAAACTTTGTATATAGCAACCTTATATAGAGACCCCGGCAGCATTAGAGATAGCGTGCGTATCGGCGTCATTTACGCAAGCAAATAGCCTACTCAGGATACGCCAGCTTCGTCATTATTTTGGCGTATATTTACGCATAATAATTACAGTTTACACATTTAGTGAAACAAATTTGGCGTAGGCAATGTTTACATTGACACCGATAAAAATGACTGACTGGTTAGCGTACTGTTCTATAAAGGTGTGTTATTTTCTCAGTCTGGGTTGATAATTGCAAACCAGTCGACATTGTATCACTGAGACGCTCGGTAATAGATGTATATAAGATAAATCAAGCTTCAGGAATAATGATAAACATCACTGTGAAGCTATGCACCTGGATTTTGCTTGTGGATTTATCCAGTATTTGTAGAGTTATTGCCCTTGACTAAGTAAAAACTGTTTCATTATGTTGTGTTATTTGTTCCTTGAGTGCTTGAGTTAGAATCAATCAACTTTGCAGGAATAATGATCAACATCACTGTGAAGCTATGCACCTGGGATTTTGCATGTGGATTTTTTTCAGTTTTGTTAGAGTAATTGCCCTTGACTTAGTATAAATTTGCAATTTTCAACTTGTTCATGCATTATAAGGTCAAAAAGTATTTGACCTGTAGGCCTGAAAGTTTACAAGAATGTTGGTCAGGATGTGTACTTATGCACCTTTGGGTTCGCTTGTGGATTTATTCAGTATTTGTAAAGTCCTTGCCCTTATTTTCATAAAAGAGTTTTAGTTTTCAACTTGTGGCACATGTAGCCCAACAAAAATATTTAACCTAGAGTCATAAGATTGACAAAAGAGTGGAGTGTGGGGGCACCTGTGTCCTATGGATACATTTCTAGTTTCATACAATAGCGTATGAATTTACAACTTAACAACAGTGAAATGACGTCATTCAAAGCACATATTTATGCCACCGCAGCATCTGCGATGCGGTGGCATATAGCGATTTACCTGTGTGTATGTGTGTGTGTGCGTGTGTGTGTGTGTGTGTTTGTTTGTTTGTGTGTGTGTGTTATATAGATTATATAGTGAACTTAAAAAATCTTCTTGTGAAAAACCGCTACTCCAATTTCAACCAAACTTGGCAGGATTGATCCTTGGGTGAAGGGCTTCCAAAGTTGTTCAAAGAATTTCATTCCATGCAGAAATCTGGTTGCCATGGCAACCAAAAGGAATTATAAGAATAAATCTAAAAAAATTTCTTGTAAAGATCCAAAAGGCCTAGAGCTTAGATATTTTGCATAAGGCAATGTCTGGTAGACCTCTACCAAGATTGTTCAAATTATAGCCCTGGGGTCAAAATTGGCCCCGCCCCGGGGGTCATTGATTTTCACTATATATACATATAGTAAAAACATAAAATACCTTCCTGTAAAGACCCTAAAGGCCTAGAGCTTAGATTTCTTGCATAAGGCATTGTCTGGTAGAAATCTACCAAGATTGTTCAAATTATAGCCCTGGGGTCAAAATCGGCCCTGTCCCGGGGGTCATTGATTTTCACTATATGTACATATAGTAAAAACTTAAAATCCTTCTCGTAAAGACCAAAAAGGCCTAGAGCTTAGATATTTTGCATAAGGCATTGTCTGGAAGACCTCTACCCAAATTGTTCAAATTATAGCCCTGGGGTCAAAATCTCCTCTAGCAATTGACAAAATTAATGCTAGAGGTTAGATATTTTGCATGAAACATTGTGAAGTGAACTTCTAGCAAGATTGTTCAAATTATAGCCCTGGGGTGAAAATTGCCCCCACCCCGGGGTCATTAATTTTCAATATATACATATAGTAAAAAATCAAAAAAAATCTTATTGTCTGAAGGTACAAGGCCTAGAGCTTTAATATTTGTTAAATTATATCATCTATAGGTACTCTACCAAAGTTGTTCAAATTTTGCCTCTAGTGTCAAAATTAGCCCCGCACTGGGGGCCATAGGATTTCCTTATATGTATTTAGTAAAAAACTTTAAAAAAATCATCTTCTCTAAATTTACAAAGGCTAGAAATGAGATATTTTTCATGAAACATAATGTAGTGAACCTCTAGCAAGATTATAGCCCTGGGGTCAAAATTGGCCTGGCCCCACTCCCAGGGGTCATTGATTTTCACTATGTACATATAGTAAAAAAATAAAAAATCTTCTTGTCTGAAGGTACAAGGCTTAGAGCTTTGATATTTGGTATACAATATCATCTATAAGTCCTCTACTAAAGTTGTTTTAATTATGCCCCCTAGTGTTAAAATTGCCCTGCCCCAGAGGCGATAGTTTTCCTTATATGTATAAAGTAAAAACTTGAAAAATCTTCTTCTCTGAATTGAAAAATCTTCTTCTCTGAATTGACAAAGGCTAGAGGTTAAATATATATGGCATGAGACTTTGTGAAGTGAACCTTTACCAAGATTGTTCAAATTATAGCCCTGGGGTCAAAATTGGTCCCGCCCCGGGGGTCATTGATTTTCATTATGTACATATAGTAAAAAAAAAAAAATTTTTTGTCTGAAGGTACAAGGCATAGAGCTTTGATGTTTGCTATATAATATCATCTATAGGTGCTCTACCAAAGTTGTTCAAATTTTTCCCCTGGTATCAAAATTGGCCCTGCCCGGGGGCAGTGATTCTCATTATGTACACATAGTAAAAACAGAAAATAAAACAAAACCTTTCCTTGTTGATGTTTTCTGAATGGGAGAAAGCTACAACTTAGATATTTGACTTGAAATGTTGTTTGGTGGACTGTATCAAGATTGTTTTGAATTAAATCCTTTGGTCCAAAATTTTGCCTTGCCCAAGGGGACAGTGACCTACTTTCTTGTCCTTTGATGTACAGCAATGGAATTTTGACCATGTGCACAGTTTTAGTTGTAAAATTGAACTTTGATATCAGGTGACCTAGATTTTGATGATGTGACCTACTTTCTTGTCCTTTGATGTACAGCTATGAAATTTGAACCATGTGCACAGATTAAGATGTAAAGTGAACTTTGATTTCAGCTGACCTAGATTTTTACAAAGTGTCTTACTGTGTTGTCCTTTGATGTAGTCATGAAATTTAGGCTGTGTGAAATATGACCTTCACCACCAAATTCACTAGACTCGAGTGCATTGATATACTCCTACTCTGATCTTTTATTGAGTTAACAACAGATTTAACCACTAATCTGATATTAAGAATTAGATAGTTCAGGGATCTATGCATTATGACAATCTTCAAAATTGTATAGAAACAAAAAAACATCTGTTCCTACACTACTATTTAGTGTTGTATTAATGCGGTGGCATAGCATTTTTCTCAAATGCAATCTTGTTCTTTTCTAAAATGACGTCATTTTAACACCGTTTATTCATAAAGTGCGCCAAAATGAGGTTGTTGTATGGCATACGACTAATCTGGCACCCCCCATGCCAGATGAAATTTTCGGCATGGGTAAAACTCACGGAAATGCCATTCTGCTATGCAAGAAACTGCTTTCCATTTCAAATTGATCAAGGTGATTACTGGCTTCACTTTCAACCATGTGGATCCTATTGCTGGGCCAATTTTATAATGTAAGGAAGCTACAAAACTAGTTAGCATACATTATCGTTGGTGAACTTTCTAGGTGTCCAATTAGACTGAAAACCAAACAAACTTTCTTTACAATATCAGATGATATGTTATAATGAATCTATTAATGCCAAACTGACAATTTGTAATATTTTGTTGCTAAAAATACAAATGTATGACAGTATCTCTAATATTTTGTAAGCTGTTCATTTGATACTTTATAATAAATGAAGGCTATAATATACTTTGTTTTCACCTCAATCACACAATTATAACACATTAGAAACCAAGTTTTTGTCATAGGTATCATGGATGCGGAAAACGTAGTATGTACATTGGACATAGAATTGCTTATAACTGACAAAAGTAAGGTAAAAACAGGGAATAGTTGATATGTTTTGAAGTTACGACACTATTTCTGAAAAGTGAAGGAAATAGAGTTTTGCTAGTGAAAGCTTTTCATCAAATTTTCAGATGGTTTTCTGGCAAAGTACTGTATATTTACTAAAGGCAATATTGAGATGTACAGACATGCATTTGATGCAGTAAGTTTGATTACATAATTATATATATATTATAACTAGAGATCTTATTCATGATGACTCAGAAACTATGGTCACATTAGAGATTTTTTTCATACAATCGAAAAATTGTTTCATATGCAAAGTTTTCACAAATAATTGAATAAAACTCAACTGGGTTACATCATTAGTTATTAGTATTTTAACTTTTAAGACACACTATAAATAATACTCATATTTTATGAAATATGTTAGTTACTGTAACAGTTTGAGACTGAAAAAGAAGGGATACTTACTTATTTGCTGACTTCTTTGTTTCAGTTAGATTTAAATGTCTTTTTCTAAAAAATACATGTACATATAAAATTGACACTGTTTTAATGGAATATATTATTACAAGGTGGATGAGGGATCAAGTGGCTGGTTGGAGGGTGAAGATGTAATGATTGCCCTCCGAGGTGTCAATAATAAACTCACTGAGGCAGAGGAGGAGTATCTATATAGGGTATGTATTGTTTTCTATATCCACATTTTTTTCATTAGATTAAATATACTGAATTTTATTTAGGAAGCAAAAAGCTTGTCTTATATTCTTTTACTGTTTACTGGTTGTTAGAAAGTCCTTTCTTTCATTTCTTGTGTTAAGCGGCTCAATAGAACAGCCTCAGAATCTAAGGGAAAAAAAAGAAAAGGATCTTGTCAATTAAATCAAAATTATAAAAACTTGAATTGTAATTGTATTAATTAATTTCTAAGGCTTGTTTGATAGTGAAGTGTATATTAATTAAACATTTTCTGAAGGAGTTTTTTATGAAACATTCTAGACATACAAGTGCAAAAAAAATTTGTTTTTTCGACACCATGAAATCATCATTTGTGATGATAGATCATAATATTTAATGCCCTGTTTAAAGTAGAATGCCTCCAGAGTGATGCCAATTTTCTTAAAAATGTATTTAAAAGAAGCAAACAAATAATTTATACAAACTGTGCTTACAATCCGCATATATTATCAAAAAGAGGTCAAAATATGCAAAAATATCCTTTGCTGCATTAGTTATGCAGAGGAAATAAGGTGATAAGTACTGCAAAATCAGTCATTAATCACACATAACATGTAAATTATTAATTCAATCTTATAACTTTTCTTCAAATCTTACATTTTTCTAAAGTTTGATTTTCTTGGAACATTTGGTTCATCTGGAGGCATGCAACAGCCCTAACCTTTGATTAGTAGGAGTAATATAGAATGGAAAATTGGAAGTAACTCTGTATAATTTTACTTTATATGTAGGTATTGGAGTTGACAGGTTACAAACTTACACATGGTGCTGATTTTAAGATATTCTCAGTGCTTGCTGCATTATCACAGAGGATATCTGCTCTTGAGTAAGTTTAACTTGCATTTAGAGTCTTAAATTTATACATATAAAGAATGATCAATGTGAACATTATCTGTTTTCTAAGATTAATGGAGTAATGCAAAGAACAGTGTGTTTTATGATAATCTAATTGGTTTTGTTTGTTTGTTTTTATCAGAATGGTTTTTCTTATCATGATATTTCAGCATTATTTTAGCATTCTAATATTTTTAAAATGAAAAAGTTGTCATTCAGCTAATTTTCTAATTTTTACTTTATTAAGGTACATATTATAGTGTTGTAATTTTTTTGATTTTGTTCATTTATCATAAGAAAACTTTGTATTTTATTGATGTTTCAGTAAGTGGATGAAGAATTTGATTGGCAAAATGGATTTTAAAGCTCTTGAAATGAAAATGTTCAAGTGTAAAGTAAGTACATTACATACATTTTACGTCTAACATGTAAATTTTTAGCTTGACTTCGTGGAATAGCGAGAACAATGATATTGTACTGACGTTGGTACCTGTGCCAGCATCCCACTTTGGTTAATGTTTTGCATGCAAGTTTGTACCTCTAAAACTACTGAAAAGTATGGGTTAAAACTTAACAAATCTGTTCTCTGTGGCACAGGTCCCATAACTTTGAGTTACCTTTTTACAGAGTTATGCCCCTTTTCTTAATGACAAGCACAGAGAAAAGTTAGCGCTTTGTCTGATTATAATCAGTTGCCATATTAAAGGTATGCCTAACTAGTGCTTCAATGTGTTGATTGTGTCTAATGTCGAAATTAAAATTGCAAGTAAAAAATAAATGATTGACATATTAGACATTAAGATATGATTATATCTTTGTTTAAGCATTTCTATACTTGAATTTAAGCATTTCTATACTTGAAATGACTTAAAATAACTTGTCCCTACTGTGTTTGATTAGTGAAAAGGTGAATTCTTACAGGAAAGAACATAATTCATTTGGCTAGATAAGGACAGATGTTCAAATGCTTGCAGAAAGAATCTGTATTGCACTTAAAGCATTTCTACTTAGTGACTAATAAAAGCTGCTAAAATGTTGGTGTGATAAGAAGTGCAGGAAATAATTGTCACTTGAAATGAAATCATAATGTTATCCAGATTGTTTGACTCATGTCACACAAACACTTTTTATTGTCGTATGGCAACCTTCAAGCTTTACTGGTGGAGGAAGAGCTCAGCACCCCATTTGTGCATTATGTATGACACGTAAGCTAGATGGATAGCTTTCTCACATGAAAAAATCCAATGTATCTAACAGATTGGAACCCAAAGTGCTGAGTGGCAAGTGATTTGAAGTCAGCAACCAGAACCACTCGACAATTGACATCCCTATATTGTCAAATTCATTCAGATTATGAAACTTGAAGAATTACTGGTTGAACTTCTTAATTCCAACAAACCTTAGCATTTTGTTATTCAAGTCATTAAATTTTGTGCTAACACTGATTCTTTTATTCTCAATACTTTTTCCTATTAAAAGTGTATGAATATTTATCATAAACAAATAATTATGTTTAATGATTATTAATTTCTATACAATATTTTCTTGCAGACATTATGGGAGTGTAATGTTGATAAAGACACTAACAGTATATCTATAGATCAGTTGTGTGTGGATCTAAGGGCGGGTGGGGTTAGTTATGAACATGAAACGGAAGTTCGTGAGAAGTTGGCTCACTTACATGCCATAGATTTACTCGATTTCTTGACTTATATTCCATTGTTCATCATGATACATGAATCTGTGGTAAGGAATCCCCTAGATGATACAAGAAACAAGTGATGATGTCACAGGAACTTATGAGAGGATCAAACATATTAATTAAGGTGCAAATTATGGTTTTCATATTGATGAGCATGCAAGCATTGAATATGTTCATCTTATAGAAAATGCCATAAGTTGTGAACAACCAGTGTGTTGATGTATAGTTATGAATGCGGAAAAGAATTAGTACTAGTAAATAAAGACAGGATATCCATGAAGGAAGCAGAATGAAGAAAACATTTTGTAGTAATTAATGATAGAATAAAACTTCTCATAAATTTGACACAGACAAATAAAAGGCAATAGAGTAAAGAATGGAGAAATACCAAGAAATTGGAAAAGGCAAAAAAGTCTTGTGTTATTTAAGTTAATCTGGGCCTCTCAAATTTGTGGCCTTAGGCTTAGGCCTTGAAGTTAGTCTACATCCATTGCTTAATTAGAAGTTAGTCTTAAACAAAGGATTACCTTAAGAAAAAAGTATAAATTGGTTTGAACATGTTATTAAATTAATAGTTGACTGATTTTTGTTTTCATATTAATGTAAAATGTAAAACAAAACTTCTTCAGGATTTTCTTTTCAAATTTGTATATATTTGGCAGTTTAGATATTAAATTTAAATTATATTGCTTGAAAGAAACATGTCTCTTCTGAATGTATTAAATTATGTTATTATAAATCAAAAGACAAATATATAGATTGTTCAAGCATCACTGTAGGTGTGCAATAATTTGACTAATATTTGTGATATCAAATAACTGTGATATGTTATTATTTTATGTTAGATTTTTTAAAATAATTTCAGAAGCATGTTGTTGTACATCATGTACTTTGTCCAAATTGTCTTCATTGAATAGTTTACATTACAGTAAGAATTTACTTGAATAATAAGTTTACAGAATTCAATGTTTTTATATAATTGAAGTTCTTTGAGCTATGTCACTCACTGCTTCTGTTTTAACATGTGTAATTGTATTTATAAGTCAATTTAAAGATTGTATTATGTAATGTCCAGTGAAATGTTTGAACAGTAGAAAACAGCCAAACAAATAATAATTTTAACAGTTTAAGAGACACTGTGTCAGACATTGTCTAATACTGATAGAACATTATAGACATGATAATTAATATGGTGGCATCTTTCCTTTCACACAACCTTTTTCTCCAAGCTGTACAAAATTATCATATTTTTATCCAAGTACCAGGTAGTCATTTGCAAAATATTTTGAATTGATCACTCCACTTTTTAAGAGGAGGCAAAGATGGTTAATTAAAAAGTAACACTATCGATTTTAAATGTATTTGTTTTTGAATAATTGCAAATTAATTTCAATTTGATAAAAGTGACATATGCTTACATGTAAATGAAATATTAAGAATTATCAATCACATCTTGTTAAAAGGTCAATAATTATTATATCTGTACATTTTGCTTTCCATTTACATTTGTTCTTGCTATGCAGGTTTTCTTTCATAACATTCTTAAAATTATAAAGTTGTAGATTATTGTATATAAAATGACGGTCACTGTGACTGGCTACAGATTGTTTATTATTTTATGTCAATATGTATATATTAGGTAGTTATAAAGCTATATGTCTACGTCAGTAGATCAAAATAAAGATAATAAAACAATTAGTTTGAGTTCAGTTGATCTTGATCCAACCATAGATATATTTCCGACAATATACCCTATAGCCAATCATAGGGACAAAACTTACTTACTTGTTTTGATGTATAATCGTTTCATCTTGAAGTGTATTTTTAGGGGGTCTCATCTACCAGGATGACACTGTTTTGCCTGTATTCTCCAAACACATTGTCAATTAAGTCGCACAAATTATCAAATGTCACTAAGTACAAATGATGAATAAGATAAATTGCGGATATTTTTTTCACTTTTCAGCATTAATCTTGTCTGTTTTCATTGCTTGTTATTCTTTTTTGTCATTATAATATGAACAGTTTATTTAAATGGGGATTTAGTAAATGTTATTTATAATATAATATTGATTAGAATTGTCCAATTTCTGAACAATCTCTTTGTTTACTATTTAACGAGTAAACCAAGTACTTAGAGCTTATCTTTAAAAGTTTAAGAGTCAAGGATAATATTCTTCCAATATTCTTTTTTTTTTGGTTAGGATGTCATGCAAACACTATTCTGGTTATATTGCAAATTTCCAGCTATCCTGGTGGATGGGAAGATTTCAGATGCCCCTTTGCGCTTATTTCAGGCACCTGAATAGAACGACTGACCTTCCTCAAGCTATCCTTACATAAAAGAATCCAAATAAAAAGATTTCCTCCAAGGACTTCAGATTCTTTGAATGTGAGGATGTTATCCATCTAGCTTCTGGAAGGCCAGTGGTTTCATTAGGGTGTTCGATTGTGATTGAAATAATAAACCTTGAGCATATTGTCCACCTACAGTAGTGAGGGGCAAGTGGTTTGAAGTAAATGACCTTAACCACTCAGCCACAGACACCCCCTTAAATTTCAGTAGTATGTGAACTTCATACATGGTACAGTGCTAGTCCTAAGTGTTTCATTTAAATGAATGCAAATGATTTTGGACACAAGATATATAGCTAGACTGCTTACTTGCATACTGTGATACAAATTGTGTTCTGTTATCACAGTAACAACTTTGTATAGATGTATACCATTGTGTTGTTAACCAGGTGGAACCACGTGGTTAGCCTTTGTCACTTATATAGAGCCAGGCAAGATTGCTCACTCGTACAGTGTGACCAGACTCAATACTGTTTGTTGCCTAATTTTTCAATTTTGTAATGAACTGTTTCATATCCAAAGCAAGGTAAATTAATTACAGTATATAATTTCTCCTCCCTGCCAGAGTCCCAGCAAATCAGTTTTATATAACAAGAGGGCCATGATGGCCCTGAGGTCGCTCACCTGTATATAGGCCCCCCAACCCCCCCCCCAACATTGCAGGGCCAAGGGCTTTTATTTGCACAAACTTGGTAGACACCCATAAGAAGATAATTCATGCTAAACATCTAAGCTCTAGCTCATTGGGCTTTTTAAAAGAAGATTTTTTTAAAGTTTTTACTGTACACATATAGTTAAAAACAATGACACCCCTGGGGCCGGGCCAGTTTTGACCCCAGGGCTTTTATTATACCCCCAAAAATGAAGTTTGGGGGGGTATATAGGAGTCACCCGGTGGTCGGTTGGTCGGTCGGGCGGTCCAGACGTCCGTTGCATTTTCCTTGTCCGGACCATAACTTGAAGACTAATGGTTGGAATTCAATATAACTACATACAATGGTCAAGCACATTGAGAGGAAGTGCAGTGCACAAGAACCATAACTCTATCTTGACTAATTACAGAGTTACTGCCCTTTGTTACTTTTCCTTGTCCGGGGCATAACTTGAACACTACTGGTTGGAATTCAAAACAACTTCATACAATTGTCAAACACAATAAGGGGAAGTGCAGTGCACAAAAACCATAACTATCTAAAGTAATTACAGAGTTATTGCCCTTTATTACTTTTCCATTGCTTTCTTTTGTCCGGACCATAACTTGAAGACTAATTGTTGGAATTCATTATAACTTCATATAATGGTCAAGCACATTGAGAGGAAGTGCAGTGCACAAGAACCATAACTCCACCTTGACTAATTACAGAGTTACTGCCCTTTGTTACTTTTCCATTGCTTTTTTTTGTCTGTAGCATAACTTGAAGACTAATGGTTGGAATTCAATATAACTTCATACAATGGTCAAGCACATTGAGAGGAAGTGCAGTGCACAAGAACCATAACTCCATCTTGACAAATTACAGAGTTATTGCCCTTTGTTACTTTTCCTTGTCCAGAGCATAACTTGAAAACAACTGTTTGGAATTCAATACAACTTCATACAGTTGTCAAGGACATTAAAAGGAAGTGCAGTGCATAAGAGCCATAACTCCATTTTGACAAAATACAGAGTTACTGCCCTTTGATACTTTTCCTTGTCTGGAGCATAACTTAAAACGTACTGGTTGAAATTCAAAACAACTTTATACAATGGTCAAGCACAAAAAGAGGAAGTGCAGTGCACAAGAACTATAACTCCATCTTCAGTATTTATAGAGTTATTGCCCTTTGTTCCTTTTCTTTGTCTTTCTGGACTTATTACAGAGTGATTCAATAAAACTTCATCAATGGCCAACCACATTGAAAGGAAATGCAATATACAAGAACCACAACTATCTTTAATTGCCCACAACCATAACTCTATATTTCAATTATTTTACAAGATATTCTGTTACTAGTAACATCCTCATTTCCGAAGCAGTCTTGTGGGGGTATTAATCACATTTAGTGATAGTTCTAGTTTGAACAAACTTTGTAGACACTTACTAGAAAATGTTTCTTGCTTAATATCTAAACTCTAGCTATTTGGGTTTTTTCAAAGAAGATTTTAAGTTTTTGCTATACACATATAAAGAAAATCAATGACCCCCGTGGCGGGGCCAATTTTGACCCCAGTTCTTTTATTTGAACAAACTTTGTAGACACTCACTAAAGATGTTTCATGCTTAATATCTTAACTCTAGCTATTTGAGTTTTTTCAAAGAAGATTTTTTAAGTTTTTGCTATACACATATAAGGAAAATCAATGACCCCCGGGGTGGTGCCAATTTTGACCCCAGGGCTTTTATTTGAACACACTTGGTAGACACCTATTAGAACATGTTTGATGCTAAATATCTTAGCCATAGCTCTTTGAGTTCTTTAAAAGAAGATTTTTTAAGTTTTTACAATATGCATATAGGGAAAATCAATGACCCACGGGGCGGGGCCAATTTTGACCCCAGGGCTTTTATTTGAACAAACTTGGTAGACACTTATTAGAACATGTTTTATGCTAAATATCTTAGCTCTAACTCTTTTTGTTCTTTAAAACAAGATTTTTTAAGTTTTTACTATATGCATATAGGGAAAATCAATGACCCCCTGGGGCGGGGCCAATTTTGACCCCAGGGCTTTTATTTGAACAAACTTGGTAGACACCCATTAGAACATGTTTGATGATAAATATCTTAGCTCTAGCTCTTTGGGTTCTTTAAAAGAAGATTTTTTAAGTTTTTACTATATGCATATAGGGAAAATCAATGACCCCCGGGGCGGGGCCAATTTTGACCCCAGGGCTTTTATTTGAACAAACTTGGTAGACACTTATTAGAACATGTTTCATGCTAAATATATTAGCTCTAACTCTTTTGGTTCTTTAAAAGAAGATTTTTTAAGTTTTTACTATATGCATATAGGGAAAATCAATGACCCCCTGGGGCGGGGCCAATTTTGACCCCAGGGCTTTTATTTGAACAAACTTGGTAGACACCTATTAGAACATGTTTGATGCTCAATATCTTAGCCATAGCTCTTTGAGTTCTTTAAAAGAAGATTTTTTAAGTTTTTACTATATGCATATAGGGAAAATCAATGACGCCCCGGGGCGGGGCCAATTTTGACCCCAGGGCCTTAATTTGAACAAACTTGGTAGACACCCATTAGAACATGTTTCATGCTAAATATCTTAGCTCTAGCTCTTTTGGTTCTTTAAAAGAAGATTTTTTAAGTTTTTACTATATGCATATAGGGAAAATCAATGACCCCCTGGGGCGGGGCCAATTTTGACCCCCGGGCTTTTATTTGAACAAACTTGGTAGACACTCACTAGAAGATGTTTCATGCCAAATATCTAAGCTCTAGCTCTTATGGTTTTTTAAAAGAAGATATTTAAAGTTTTTTCTTTCGGTTGCCATGGCAACCGGAGTTCTGCATGGAATTAAATTCTTTGAACAATTTTTAAAGGTGACCACCAAAGGAACATTCCCGTGAAGTTTGGATGAAATTGGCTTAGTGGTTTATGAGGAAATGTCATTTAAAGTAAAAGTTTACGGACGCCGGACGGACGCCGGACAGACGGACGCCGGACGAAAAGCGATCACAAAAGCTCACCCTGTCACTTTGTGACAGGTGAGCTAAAAAGATGGGATATAGAAATAACAAACATTTCATTTCCATAAAAGCAGACTATTTTATTGCTGATTTTGTAGGAAATAATGATATAGTATATATATTTTGAATAAAGTTATCAGCACAAAGATGAATGGGTCGAGGAAATGGAGACAATGATTCTAGTAAGCAAAAAATAAAAAATAAACATACATATTAAACAAGACATTACTTACACATATGTTCATATCACAATTTTGGTTGTACACGTTTCAAGGAAATTGGCATAATGCTTTACACAGACAATTTGATACACATATAAACATGAAGACTACTGACCAGGAAATAAGATATTAATTATAGTATCATATTTAGTAAGGAATGGTGGAATACAGAGCACTTATAGCTGTTTAACTGCGTATCTGTTAGCCTAGAATATTTATCATTTATATATCATTATAAACATACATTCCAAATTAAATATTTACGTAAAGTTTACACATTACTGTTTAGGCATTCAGAAAAAAATCTGGAAATATTTTCTTTAAATTTTACAAAGAAATTAATAAAACTACTGACAGTTTTTCATTCTTATTTTAATGCTGACTGTCATTACTGGGTGAATACTTGAATTATATGTGAGACTTTCTGAAATTTACACTCTTTTTCTTATCTTTAACAAAAAATTATAAAACAAACCTAGAACAATATGTTGCAACAGATGAAGCAAAAGTAAGGACAAATCCTGAAATTCGTAATAAACTGACTATAATAATGAAATATATGTGAACTGTAAAAAAAGTACAATTTTATTTCAGCTAAAAGAAATCTTGTGTATGTAACTAATAAAAATGAATATTCATTCACTACTACACAACAAAAACATTATCAGCTCTGTGTAACATAAAACAAAAATATCACACAAGACTACAGAATGACTTCATAACAGAATAACTTACGCTCCAATTGTTGATAATAACAACATACTTAATTTCAAGTGTTCTCATTCTTCTGTTTTCAGTTTCTCAAACATATACAAGATATTTTACAAATCAATATTTCTGTCTTGATTTTTAAATCTAATTTCATTTTTATTTTACATCCATTCAGTATTTGCTGCAATTAAATGAAAATCAATTTGCTACTATTTATAATGTGGAGAAGTAAGGATGATTCTGGTATACCTCAAACTATTCAACCTGCCTGTTCAAGTACCATACAATGCCCTACTTGAAGCATGCATGAAGTTTGTCTGGAAGAACTAAAAGAAATTTTAATTCAAAAACAAAAGTCCTAAGCAAATGAATTGACTTCATTAAAAGAATATACAAAACAGTGCAGCTCGTTTTTTGAGAAAAAATTAAACAACACAATACAAAAGCAACACAAGACAAAAACTACACAAACAAACACTTGTATAGTTCTTCTAGGTAAGGCAAGACCTTGAAACACAAACAAAACTCAACCAGTATGCATGAAAAATATGCATAAAATAATCACACAAAAATAAAGCAGTATTTTTATAAAGTAGCTGCAGGGTTGTTATCTAACTACACATTCTGAAAACACAAACATCATTACTTCACACCGTTAGTACACACCTTGTTGTGTGTCAATTAAAAAATCTTCCAGAAAAAAACAAACAATTTATTTTCCAAAAATCTGGATAAAAGGGAAATAACATATCATAAAGAATTAAATTTGAATTACTGGTAATATTACAGTGATAAAACAGTCTACTTAATAACATTTCTTTTGTTCCTGTCGCCATTTATTGAGTAACTTTAAATCATCAAGAATAAATAGGTGAGATAACTAAAGAAGAGGGTGAAACAATATTGAAAATGTGTCTGTTTATACAAGAATAGTGTTTCGATTTAAAATAAAAAGAAAAAAATCAAGTCAACAGATAAAGCAAATATTCTGGACATTTACATGAATATAGGGTAACAACTAACCAATGTAAGTTAACATAAACAAATTATATATTTAGTGCCCTAAACACCTCAAGTTTTTTGCCCCTTTCAACCTGAGATTCTATCTAACAAGCATGGCACCAATTAAGGTAATTAATCTACACATATTTTCTGTATCTTAACACAAAAACTGGTTCCATTCCTGGTTAAACATGTACATATAGCTCTCACCCTTCTTAATTTGTTTAATGGACTTTCTCATCTATGATTTTGAAACAGTCCATCTATAAATTTTAGGGATTTCAATATTAAATCTTAGCAGTCAACAATGCTGAGCTTGCTTAGACTACATGGGTGTAAAAAGTTTGATTTCATTATATAAGGAACTGTATTAAAGTTAATATAAGAGTGAATGTTCTAAGGTACAATAGTTAGTATTAAACTTTTATTCTGCTGGCAGGACATTAATAAACCTATGTAGACCAACATTAACCAGCAATTTTGTGCTGGGTCATGTCATCTCAACATGGTTTATATTATTGGCTTATAGAGAAATATATCCTTATATTGATGAATGCATTTGTCCAGAATGAAGATGGACAAATTCGTTTAATATATTTAGCATGGCTAGAGTATGATCTAATCATTGTGAATCATGTATGATAACTGTGACTATTATTGTACATCAAACCATTATGCTCTTTGATACATCAATAAAATCTTATTAACAACTTTTACACAGATATAGGGAAACTATAGTGGGTATAGAAGACTGTATGGTGTGGGAATACGCTGTACAAATTACTTATATAATAATAATATCCTATATACAAACTACAACTATCTAGGGTATATTACATGACTTTCTACATATCTGGCTCACTAAATACAAAAAATAAACATCCCCCAATGAACTTTATACAAGAAAGCTAGGTCTAGTTCATCATCTCTGAATGCTACGTATATGTATAATATAAATAAAATACACTACACATGCTTTATTTTACCATAGTCTGAATGTTTTATATATGAAAATAACACACACAAGAGTGCTGTATTCAGAAGCAATTGACTTCCTTGATGCTTACTGTACATTTATACCTCTAAAATATATCTTGGTATGAATAATAAAATATTACAAAAGAAATATTATACAATGTATTTCAAGATATTTCAGAATCAGGCAAATAATTTTCTGTATCCATATGTTGATATTTATACCTACAAAGTAGACAAAATTTCTACCACCCAGAGATGATCAACTAAATTTAAACAGTAACATATTGCACTTGTAAAGAAATTGGTAGCTACAATAATGGAGTATTTACAAATTTGTTATAACACAATCTAAAATACATGTATTTTGTTTCGAAAGAAAATGACAATTTTTTTTTATGAAGGAAGACATTGTTTTATGAATTGAATTCATTAATACTTCAATTATTCTGTGGCAATTGTTGACTCAGCCATTACAAAACTAAACAAAGAGGAAAAATACGATGATTCAATTATTAAAGGTCATTACTTCACTGACCTAATTTCCATGCAATGTTTCATAATCGAACAATATATCTTGGTTGTCCCATTCAAGTATGAAACTTGACAAAAACAACAATAAAAAAACATTCTGTTTGTTTGTTTTTTTTAACAAGAAAATGATTACTAGTTACAAAGTTGTAATTTTCTGAAGTAACCAATTAATTTTGTTCTACTTAATATGTGTGAATTTATTCACTTACAAAAACTAAAAAATAAATTCCATTGCTTGCATTAACTTAATTTTTACGATGAAGTCTAAAGACGTTAAAAATCAAAATCTGAATTACCTTTCACATATTGAAGACAAATGTGATTGGTTAAGGATAAGCAGACCTCCATTGGTTTTTTTATTGTTTCAAAGAGTTAAAAAATTAACTTTCTTTATTAAGAAACAACAAAAACAACAACAACACCCTCTAGATGTCATTTAAAAAATAGTATGCATGACTTTCGGGGTTGTTTTCTCATGCAAGCAGTCCTATTATAACTGATAATGATGTATGATACTTGATCATGATAAAATTGCTATATAGAAAGTGTTCTTGTTTCACAGGTGAAGTTCTAGGTACACATCAACACTGTAAAAGTTTTATGGCAACTCTATATATGGAAGGTGTATAAAACAATTCATATATACACTGTAATAAATGCCCTGTATGTTAGTGAATAGAGATTAAAGCATAGAAATACATTACAACCAATTTACATTCTTTTGGAGCAATTTTTTCTTAATATTTTGACTATTAACACATTATCAACAATGAAACAAATAAAAAAATACTTTATAAAACACCATTACAATTGCTTCATTATGAATGCCAAAATAAAGATTTTTACAATAATTCACAAGTAGTGCATACACAATACCTTCTGAAGTGATTTAAATTTGAAGACATAATGGTACATTAAAATTGGCATTAACACACACATATTTACGAACACATGTTCATTGCTTGAATTTTGTGTTATTTTTACTGTTAGTAACAAGAAATGATCTACATAGAACTCAAATATCAGATGTTATTACCCTGGACACCTGCATTCATTATTTGTAGTGACTACTACAAAAATATGACAATATTTGAAGGATAAATTTAGATTACCATCCTGTTGATACCATCCTGTTGATATGTTACTTTCAATGTTATTTGATCTTGTGTACCAATTAACAATTGCCCGTGTTTGTACAATTAGGTATAATGTTTTAAATGTTTGCAAATGTAGATAAAATATGTCGTAAGTTCTGAATATCACCAAACAAATCTGTTCTCTGACCCTTAGCCTGCCCGCGACTTCATATTCTACCCATGTGACCAGTACAGACCAACATCAGCTGACAAATACATGCCATCCAATCATGGTCTGCAATTGTTCACTTTTCAGTTAGTTCAAATTTTCATTTTTATTCCCCCTAAAATGATTAACAGTCTTGCCAAGATTGATATATAGACATGTTCTTTCAGGCACAAACTTACTTTTAAAATATCTGACATTTGTTTGACATTTAGTAGTTACAGAAATGAAAACAAATTAGAGCAAATATCATTCCCACAGGACATCTCAATTACAGCTGTTCATAAATTATTCTATAACATAACTCTATCTCTGTAACACTTGATCACATCTGCTCTCATTTTACCCCATTTATTTATCATATCACTGGAAAATCAAGGAAGTGCACGAGTAGATGGTAAAAAAATAGGGGGATACTTAAAGTAGATGAAAATGAGGTTATCATACTAGCCTGGTTACTTTGTTAAATGTTTTATATAGCTTAAATACCTCTCAAAATATACAAATATTCAACAAATTTCTTTATATTCCCTATAATTATTACAGTAATCCATGTTGAAGTCTACTCAGACTCTCTAGCTGAATATCACACTCAAGTATTCTGTTTGTGTCAAACTGTATATGTATCACACTTGATAGGAGTTTCAGCACAGATCATCAATGGCAGTCTAGTCCACTCTAGAATTGGTTCACTACAAGCAAAGTCTGAAAATTGTAAGTTAGCCATCTTATATAGGTAAATAAGTATATATACATTTACATATTGAAATGATGTATTGACAACTATATACCTTGACAATATCGTCTCAATAACATTATTTTTGAAGAGAATTACAAGATATTTCTTTCTATTGCCTACATATTGTAAATTTCATATTGACAACTTTTAAAATTGTTCCAGAAATTGGCTAAACAGGTTATATGAAAGTTTTTATATGACGACATAGACAACACAGAGAGTATAAAAGTTTGACTATTTCTTCAAAACAAGACGAGCTAACAAGTCAGAAACATTCAAAGTAAAGACAGACCCACCATTAATCAGCCCAGTCATCATCTTCATCATCATCCTCTGACTCACTGTCTTCTACAGCTTTTCTTCTCATATCAAATGCTCGCGTCATCACAGCATGAACATCAAACCTGTTCTGTGACACAGTCTCTTGTTTCTTCTCCTCAGTTTTTCTCAACTTCTTGTTCCCTTTAATATAAATATATGTATAACTCAGATAAACATTTCCATCTTTTATCCAGCTTGTACATTGTGGAATGTTTACAAGAGCCAATGCCAAGGGGGGACCAAGCTCGACTTTTTCCTTATTTCTAAAGCTAAACATAACTGAGGAAGAATATTGTAGGAATGAAAACTACTAGAAAACATCATTAACTTGTAAAAGTATAATTAAAACTTTATATTTGACCTTGACAGTCAAGGTCATATGCAGATCAATGTCATTCTTAAATTATTCAACTGTCGGTATTGTCATAAGTGTTGTTTTATCCCAATATGAATCAAATCTCTCAATTATAATAAATCAAAACAAAGCTATAACAATTTGAAATAAGGTCAATTATATGACTTTGACTGACAAGGTCATTCAAAGGCCAAGGTCACATTTTAATTAATCATCAAGTCAATTATGTCTCAAGTGTTCTTTTTTCCAGCAACAAAATCAAATCCATAAAATAACAAAGTTATGTTACAATAATTTGACCTTGACGGCCAGTCAATTAAAGATCAAGGTCATATTAGAATGATTCAACATGTCAGTTTTGCCATGTGTGTTCTTTTGTCCAAATATGAATCAAATTTGTAAATAAATAAAATTATGACAATTAAAGCTAATTTGATTAATTTGATCTTGACAGACAAGATCAAATTAAGGTCATAGTTGAATTATTTGATATATGGTTTTTGTCATAATGGTTCTTTAACATCAATAAGAATCTTCAATCAATCTTACTTTGTTATCTACATTTTTAAATTGTCAGCAGTAAAAAAATTACTTTAAAGCTTAATATTTTTAATAAAGAACAAAAACAACTTACAGTCACCAAGTCTAATCTCATCTAACAGAGCATTTCTTGCTGTAATCTTTGGTGGTTCTGGTGCCTCCATTTCCCTTGCACTAGCTGTGCTCGAGTAATTGCTGTTCCCTGACGATATTGACATAGTATCAGGCTGTCCATTCATAGGGGGCGGTGCCATTGGAGCAGGTGGTGGTGGGGGTGGAGGAGGAGGGGCGGGAACATTTGTTTGCTGTAAGGGTGGAGGAGGAGGAGTCTGATGTGCCATAGGGGGAGGAGGAGGGGGTGGGGGCATCTCTGGACTGTCTGGTGACATTGGAGGTGGAGGTGGTGGAGGCAAGTCAGAGTCTCTCCCTGGAGACATGTGTCTTGGAGAGCCACCTTGATACACTATATCATTTAATTGAGTGTTTCTAATCTGAGAAGCATTCTGGTGACCATTCCCGACCAGAGGTGGTGGTGGGGGAGGGGGCAAACTGTCCCTCTGTGGTGACATACTGCCTCGGTCATTTCTTTGAATGTAACCTTGATCCATGGGAGGAGGTGGTGGGGGAGCAACATTTGGTCTACTAGGACTAGCTATATTTCCTTGTTTCTGAGACTGACGCCTGTCCCGAGGAGATTGATTTTGATTTTGAGCTGGATGCATCTTTTGAGAGCCACGATACTGAATCTGTGCATTATAATTAGGATCTTGCTGATCTATTTGGTACTGAGGATGTACAGTATACGGTCCATTCATTTGGTTATCTATATGATTCTGTTCAAGTGTCTGTCCAGGTACCTGATCTCCACCCTGTCTAACACTAAGCTGCTCTGGTCTGTTACCCATTGAGTTTTGTCTTGTGTACCCAGGAGGCACTTCATGTCCTTTCCCAGAACTAGGTTGAGTTACTGGTACATTATAATCTGAACGAAATTCCTCGCCCATTTTCTTATCTTTGTATTTTTCTGCTCTGGTCTGTACCGGCTTTGGTTTGACTGCCTTGTGACCAGCAGGGGACCGACTCTGAAACAATTACAACATTTATTTTAATAGTTAAGAATCTGCTAAACACATAAAAGGTCATGAAATAAAAAATCATAATAAATAACACCTAACCTAAAATCAAAGATAATAATGTCCAATTATATGTCATTTGGTATGTAAATTATTGCAAAGTGGCAAGTTACATAAGACAAAAAAATTGACACATGTCCATAGGACACACTCCAGTATGCCCCTACTGCATTTTGCCAGTTCATATTTAATTATGTTCTAGTGTAAGATAAATAAGCATAATGATTTTATAAACAATGAATTTTACAAACCTATGACTGAGAAAAGACTATTTTGATTGATTAGAATTAGATTTCACATCAAGTGTCAATAGGACATTGACCTAATGACCTCATCAATAGGGGCTGAGTACTTGCCAGAATTAGATTTCACATCAAGTGTCAATAGGACATTGACCTAATGACCTCATCAATAGGGGCTGAGTACTTGCCAGAATTAGATTTCACATCAAGTGTCAATAGGACATTGACCTAATCATAATGACCTCATCAATAGGGGCTGAGTACTTGCCAGAATTAGATTTCACATCAAGTGTCAATAGGACATTGACCTAATCATAATGACCTCATCAATAGGGGCTGAGTACTTGCCAGAATTAGATTTCACATCAAGTGTCAATAGGACATTGACCTAATGACCTCATCAATAGGGGCTGAGTACTTGCCAGAATTAGATTTCACATCAAGTGTCAAAAGGAAATTGACCTAATAACCTCATCAATAGGGGCTGAGTACTGGACATTGGCAATATCCCTATCAAGATTCACAAACTAAGTCTTTTTATTTCTTAAAAAGGGATTGCAAAGTGTAACGATACTGACTCAGAAGATTCCTTTTTAAAGTGCATAGGTCTACTATAACCATAATCTATCTATACATACCCCAATTCTGTCAAAACTGTCTTGAGAACAAAGATGGTATCTATGATAATGACAGTGTATGAATGTCACCAGTATAGACCTCGGGGCAATCTAAATGTTAATAATTCTTACAGTTGGCAACATTGATAATTCTTACAGTCTGATCTGGCTTTTCATGGCAGACTGGCTACCTAATTATTTTATTACTTTGATATTAAAATCACTAAGACGCATCATTTGTGTTTTTTCAAAGCCGGACGAATTGAAAATGCAAATTCTGCAGCTTATGGGTTAAAGTAGGCCATATCAACATACCTTTTTCACTCTCTTTGCCTTCAAATCTTTCTTTCTGTTTTCTATATCTTTCTTGATTTCGGAGTACCATAATTCGAAGAAATAGGAAGGATCTGTGTAGAATTTCATACAATCTTTACCATCCTCTCTGTAATATATAACATAATATTTTATACTGGATGCTACTCATATTGTGAAGAAAAACAAAAGTTGTCAGTAGGACAGCATGCTCAATTATTCTCAATGCTTGATAGTATAACAAGAGCCTGGATAATGTAGAATTTTCAAAGTTCAAAAGAGGTAATAATTCTGACAAATTTAGGTTAGAGTTATGGGCCTTGGAAAATGAACTACTATTATGCTCTGAAATAAGTGTGTGAAATAAGTGTGGGAAGTTTCAACCCATTCCCTTCAGTAATTTTGGAGATACCAACTTGATGCAAAGGCTTAACTTAATCCTGTAAGCAATGCCAAACACTCAGGTTAATACAATAGTTCTCCCTAATTTTCAATACAAAACTGTTTTATCTTTCAACTTCACTTGGCAAAGTTAAAATTACAGCAGTATGTCTATGGATGGTTACAACAAAATATGACAGAAATGATATTCTAATATAATTAATAGCAGGTCAATTTGAAATAAAGTGAATTAGACTTTTGTTTTTTACTCATCAAAATTAACATATCTAATATGATCTATTTCAGTACAGATACCAAATTCATAAACATTTCTTTACTTTATTGCAGTGTTTGAAAAAAATAAAGCATTTCCCAATATTTGTTTACGTCATATAATTGTGTAGGCACGCCACTTCAAGTGTGAATCATTTAAGTGTAAGTATCATCATCTACGTTTTACTATCTTATCAACCATGATTTACTGTGTTATATATATATATATATACACAGCAATATTAATATATGGTACAGCATGAATAGAAGTTAAAACATGTCATAATGTTTGATGAAAATAGTATGTAAATGAGGACATTGTTTCACTATAAAATGACTGCCAGGATTAAAAGTAAATCTCTGTATTTTATTGAAGAACTGAAGTTCATTTACACAGCAATGCTGCAAAATAAAACTAAAATAAAACATAATATCTAAAACTTAAATAACTGCAATCTACAAATTGAAATGTTTTTTTATTTGTTGAAGCATCAAGTCCTTGAATCTAATGGAAAGAGGAATATAATTATGATATTCTGTGGTTGAGACTGGGTCACAATTTTGCACTTGATATTCTTCCAGGATATTAAATTCTATTAAATACAGCCCAAAAAACAGCTGTTAACATACTGACTAAAAAGGAATATTTTTATACATCTCCTTTACCATTACAAGAAGTGCTGAATGAAATTATATGTTAAAACCCTGTATTATTTTAACTTTGAAACAACCAAATTTACATGTACATGAAATATATTTATTTTTCATGGCTTATCAGTCAAGCTTTTAATTTTTAACTTTTATTCAAAGCATTCATGTTACTGTAATACTGAGACTGTAATAATGCAATTTCTATCTGGAAATCCCTTATTAAATGTTAATGATTTAAATAATATTGCATCCATTTATTTATTTTACATTTTGTATGCTTCATTTGTTTTATTTTCTTGCATAAAAAATTATCTTGAAAACGTCAAAAGTTGTTTTTGCAGTATAAAATATTTCGCAAGTCTAATAAACCACTTTCAATGATTCATGTAAATATTAATACCAGTCTGTACTCAGATCAATATACACAAACCCTTTATAGAGTGATTAGTCAGCCAGATAATATTGTTATTAGATGGTATCTTAAGATATAAATGTGTACTATATATATATTGTATGAATATAGAAACAATTGTGACAGCAATCTTAAGAAAAAAGGTCAAGAAAATGTTAAATATATCAAAATTTAAACTCTAGATATAGATAAATGATCAATATTTTGGACAAAAATTAAACATTTAGCTTATTAATTTGTATTTAGATGTAAATCAAAGAAAATTATTTAGGGGTTCAAGTTTAATGTTATCCTTAGGAATTGTTATTCAAACATGGCTTGAGCTTTATCAGATCATCAGGACACACAATTATTAGAAATCCCACATTTTTTCAACTAAGACAAGCCTGTAATGTTAGAAGCAAAACAAATGGCCAATGTAACCAATATTGAGTCTAGTCAATGTCACCTATATCGAGACAGGCCAATGTCATCAATATTGAGTCTAGTGAATGTCACCAATATCAAGACAGGTCAATGTAACCAATATTAAGTCTAGTCAATGTAACCTATATCAAGACAGGTCAATGTAACCAATATTGAGTCAAGTCAATGTCACCTGTATCAAGACAGGCCAATGTAACCAATATTAAGTCTAGTCAATGTAACCTATATCAAGACAGGCCAATGTAACTAATATACTCTGGTCAATGTCACCTATATCGAGACAGGCCAATGTAACCAATATTAAGTCTAGTCAATGCCACCTATAACAAGACAGGCCAATGTCATCAATATTGCTGCATGCCAATCTATCCAATATTAAGACAGACGGTGAGACCAATGTAACCAATATAAAGTCAGGTTAATGTCATCTATATCGAGACAGGCTATATAGCCGATATTAAGGCAGGATAATGTAGCCAATATTCAGACAGGCAAATATCAACAATAGTCAGGACCTAAGGTTTTTCAATTCTGTAAACAATGCACAGTTACAAAAACAGAGCAGGGCAAGCAAATTAACTAATTTCAGTTGCTTCATTAAAGATTAAGATTAGATTGTAAACACACAACAAAAAATACTTATTTTAATGTTACACTTGTTACATGGAAGAAATATGTTCGTTAATATTATTTATAAAGATCTTATCGCTAGCATGTTTACTGCCATATTTGTGTTGTACATTTCGCCACATGGGTTGTTGACCTTCAGGTTTGATATGAATAAAACTTTGTAAAAAAAAGTGTCAAGTTTGTTCACATATTTTACATGATGAGGAAGAGCTATCATGAAAGTTTATCCTACTTATCATAATACAAATATATTATGCGCATATCTATCTGTCAACACTTGAATAGGCAAGATTTCAATGTTATAGTGTCAACAAGGAAGTTGTAACTCTACATCTTATTCTATAAATTCTATTGGACATAGAAAACTTATCTTTTGACAAAGTATAAATACACACTGCCAATGAAGTTTTTTTAAAAGCAATAGTTAAACTTGCCAACAGTAAAATAAAATTGTAAACTGTTATTGGCATTTGTTTTGTTAGCTAAAATATGTACACAGTTTAATAATGTTCCAAATCAAAACTTCCAGAATATATTTTTAGGATGTGTAAATACCTTGAAAATAAACAAGACTACTAACTTTCTTTTTTCAGAAGAAAATTATGTGATAAAATAAATTTCATAAGAAAATATAAAATTCGTTATTTATTTAAAAATCCCACAAATATCAAAATAGATTCTGAAAATTCATTTTAATTTGACAGCCGAGACCTTGACCTTGTGAACAATTATACACACATGGTTCTTACAGAAGACACACAGCCTCAACATGGGGTAATGTAATTTCAAAGTACATGTACACTATAATAATATGGCAATCTTCAAATCTCTTAAGACCGAATTATAGCATTTGATAAAATGACCTTGAACTTTGTGCTATAAACACAGGGCTCTCAGTAGGGTCAGAATTTCACGAGTCAAAGACTCTTTGGCTAAAATTTTCATAAGTCAAATAATTTTTTTTCTAGTGTCATTTGACTACATGTATCATTTTTATGTTACAAAAATAACTGTATTGGAGGTCATTTTTGGAGATTCCAAAGTCTAAATTGACAGAAAAAAATGCCTAATTATAAATGTCTATACTGTACTCCCACCACCTAAAAAACAAAACAAAAAACAAATAAAACAAAAACATGAATTGCTGTGAAAGAATAAAATAAGCAGCAGCTTTTCTGATTAAATGTATAAAATATAAAAAAATATCTTTACTGGTATGCTATATCATATTAATTTTAAATACCAAAATGTACCAGGAATATTTATAAGAAATGCACAGGTACTCCAAGTAAATGAAAGACGTATTATAAACCTTCAGAAGCAATCAATAATATTATTGACACCTCAAGTATGTATTCTTATCAGTTGTGTAGAGCTATTTTTAGCGCTGTCAAATTGCAGCCACTGAATTGTCGCGCTTCAGTGCATAGGGTATAAACAAAGCATTTTATACACATCTTATACTGCCTGTTGACATTTTTTATGAGTGTGATTTGAACACATGTAGGATTTGATAGATAATTAGGGGTGGATTTAAGGTAATTATTATTGCATAGCTGAAAATCCCATGTGGAAAATTGACTCTTGAGCAGATTTTATCACGTGTCAAATATGTGCATTTCCCGATTTTCACGAGTCAAAACCCGGATCCCCGTGTCAATCGAGAGCCCTGTAAATTAACATGATCTTTACAATCTCAGCAATGGTAAATGTCTGTGCTTAGTAAGCAGAATTATTTTGAATGCATAACTATCTTTACTGTCTTTTGGGTTAACTCACTTAAGTGACTGTCAATGGTAATTTTATTTGAAAATCGCTCCCCTGATAAAGGGTAATAATAAATCAAACAAAGAATTAGGTCAGTTGATAAAGTTCACTGCAGACTGCTCCACAAAAATCTTCTCAAGATAATTTATTCAAATGATTGCATACTACATTAAATTTTACATACATACTGAGTATGGAAATCATAGTAAATAATATATTAAATGTTGAGAAATAATTAAATCATATTTATGATGTGTAGAGTACTGAATGAAATGATTCAGATGAGATCATCGTTCATTATTTATAATTTGTCTGATAACACTTATCTATAAAACAAAGAGCATTATATTGATACAATTGCACACGGAAATTGCTCATTGTGATATAAACCCGCAATTTCTACATTTTCAGCATTTACATTAGATTTAATTTGGTTGATCTATCATACATAGATGAAACATACAAGCTTTAACAATTTCTCTTTTTTTCCTGTAACTGTATTTTGTATAGAAAAATTAGGCAAATGAATTTTATTATGACTATTATTCTCTGCAATAAAATAACCTTTTAGGAATATTTATGGCAATTATAGCCTTCATTCCTTTTGGTTCTTATATCTGTTGTTTGTTTAACTGTTTAATTGGGTTCTACGTAACACCAACACATTATAGGTCATAGGGCCACGTTCCAGCTTTACTGGTGGATGAAGACCTCAGGTGCCCTTCCATACATTATTTCACTGACGTTCCTTAACCTAGCTGGATAGCTTCCTCACATGAAAGAATGCAAAGTCCCTGTCAGGATTCGAACCCACAGCCGTGAGGGGCAAGTGGTTTGAAGTCAACAACCTTAACCACTCGGCCACAGATGCCCCCTGATATCTGTTGAACCAACATTGTAAATGCCATTAACATGAAGCTTCTTTCCATACACATCATCAGTCACCCATTTTTACATAAGGTGCAAACCAACACTAGAGTAAAACCATCAACACATAAAATGAAACTGTAAGGTTTTACAGCGTTTAGTGACCAAAGATATAAAATGTAGCTATTACCTGTAGACATTGAGTTTATCTAAGGCAGGTGGTTTCTCACATCTATTATAGACATCTTGTATAGCCTTAGGTATTGTGATACGTGACACCACCTGTTGATCATGCTGCTTTGAACTCTGGTAAGGCTTTCGCAAGTGAATATCTTGTAATGACACTAAAATATACAACAAAATCTGAGTTAATTTCAAAAGAAAAATTTCATACTGTACAAAGTAATTAGACTTAGTAATCAGATTTCAGTCATTAATATTAATAGAAGATAGTTAAAATACACAGAATAAACTTAAAGTGTATAATGTCATTTGAGTTGCATGTAGGACTTTTAACTTACTTCAAATCATTACTCAACAATAACCAACTAAGTAATAAGTCTTGCACACAATCAGAATTAAGTGACATAATTTAGATATTGTGCACAAACAAGCAGACAGTTTAAGGAATAACTGTTCAATGTATATACTAACCTTCTTCTTCTGTTGGGTTAAGTTGTGTAACTTTAATTCTTAAATGCTCAACTCTGTTATTTAGTTCACTAGCTCTATTGAAAAAAGTAGTAGTCTCCCTGTACAAATCAGAGAACATGTCCTCCGCATGCTGACTTAGTGAACTTAATTGACGTATAATATTAGCCAATGAATGATTAGTCACACATTCTAACTCATTTGTCACTGATTTGTCCACTTCCACGCGACTAACGTGGATCGGTTCTACTATTCGCTGTATAAACGGCATTTTCCTGTGTACCTGAAAATTAACAATAAAGAATAAGTATTGCAGATGTATAAACACTAATTCTCCTTAAATAACAACAATATCAAACAAATTACTTTTCTAAACTGAGAATATTGACTTTATGGACAAACTATGATTAAAACTAGAAACTGTCAATATAATAACATTTTAAAAATAAAACAAAAAGCTGTCTGAGGAGCAGCACTAACTTTTCTCACTCTGACAGCGATGGATAGTATGATAAAAGCAAAGTAAGATGATCATGTGTAAATTTGAATTACCTGCCCTTAAAAGTCCAGAAGTATTTTAAGTTTAAAGTGAATATATCTGATGATTTTTTTAGCATATTAGGAAAATAAAGAATGACTGAACAAAAATGATTTTCAGGGTTACCTGCAGTGGACAAGTACTTCAACAAATACACTTAGTACCACAAGGTTGAATAAAAAGTGAATAACTGGTAAGATGGATAAAGGGAAGGCTTCACATTTTTTAATGTTTCTCAGAAAATGTAACTTCATGCATTGACTATTACAGATCCCAGTTGACCTTGGCTTTTGACCTGAAAATAAGCTTGACAGGAGGTGCATCTCCATTTCCAAGGTCAATGCACTTTCAGTGCTTTTTCACTTATAGAGAATGCTGGCAGGGCCCATGGACAGGGTAAAATTAAATTGGAGACAAAAGAGACAAAATTCAGAAATGAAGCAGTTCATTTCAGGTGAATTTACTGAAACTATGATACAATATCATAACTTTTTAAACAACAATGCCTATCTCTAACTATTATGGTAACATAGAACTAAAACAAGATTGCATTTGAGAAAAATGCTATGCCACCGCATGGTTCAAATTTCATAGCTGTACATCAAAGGACAAGAAAGTAGGTCACATCATCAAAATCTAGGTCACCTGATATCAAATTCAATTTTACAACTAAAACTGTGCACATGGTCAAAATGTCATTGCTGTACATCAAAGGACAAGAAAGTAGGTCACTGTCCCCTTGGGCAAGGCATAATTTTGACCCAAGGGTTTAATTCAAAACAATCTTGATACAGGTCCACCAAACAACATTTCAAGTCAAATATCTAAGCTATAGCTTTCTCCCATTCAGAAAACATTTGTTTTATTTTCTGTTTTTACTTTGTGTACATAATGAGAATCACTACCCCCGGGCAGGGCCAATTTTGACACCAGGGGAAAAATTTGAACAACTTTGGTAGAGGACCTATAAATGATATTATATATCAAACATCAAAGCTCTATGCCTTGTACCTTCAGACAAAAATATTTTTTATTTTTTCACTATATGTACATAATGAAAATCCATGACCCCGGGGCGGAACCAATTTTGACCCCAGGGCTATAATTTGAACAATCTTGCAAGAGGTTCACTACACAATGTTTCATGCAAAATATCTTAACTCTAGCCTTTGTAAATTTAGAGAAGATGATTTTTTAAGTTTTTACTATATACATATAAGGAAAACATATGGCCCCCGGGGGCGGGGCTAATTTTGACACAAGAGGCAAAATTTGAATAACTTTTGTAGAGTACCTTTAGATGATATTATTTAACAAATATTAAAGCTCTAAGCCTTGTACCTTCAGACAATAAGATTTTTTTATTTTTTACTATATGTATATATTGAAATCAATGACCCCCAGGGCGGGGGCAATTTTGACCCCAGGGCTATTATTTGAACAATCTTGATAGAGGTTTACTACACAATGTTTCATGCAAAATATCTAACCTCTAGCATTTGTCAATTGCTAGAAGAATTTTTTTTGAAGTTTTTACTATAAGTTTTTACTATATACATATCAGGAAAACCAATGACCCCCGGGGCGGGGCCGATTTTGACCCCAGGGCTATAATTTGAACAATCTGGGTAGAGGTCTACCAGACAATGCCTTATGCAAAATATCTAAGCTCTAGGCCTTTTGGCTCTTTACAAGAAGGTGTTTTAAGTTTTTACTATAATGTACATATAGTGAAAATCAATGACCCCGGGGCGGGGCCGATTTTGACCCCAAGGGCTATAATTTAAACATTCTTGGTAAGGGTCTACCAGACGATGCCTCATGCAAAATATCTAAGCTCTAGGCCTTTTGGGTTTTTTACAAGAAGGTATTTTAAGTTTTTTCTATATGTACATAGTGAAAATCAATGACCCCCCGGGGCGGGGCCAATTTTGACCCCAGGGCTAAAATTTGAACAATCTTGTTAGAGGTCTACCAGACAATGCCTTATGCAAAATATCTAAGCTCTAGGCCTTTTGGGTCTTTACAAGAAGATTTTTTAAATTTACTCTTATAATTCCTTTTGGTTGCCATGGCAACCAGATTTCTGCATGGAATGAAATTCTTTGAACAACTTTGGAAGCCCTTCACCCAAGGAACAATCCTGCCAAGTTTGGTTGAAATTGGACTACTGTTTTTTCACAAGAAGATTTTTTAAGTTCACTATATAATCTATATAACACACACACAAACACACACACAAACACACACACACACAGGTGAATCGCTATATGCCACCGCATCGCAGATGCTGCGGTGGCATAAAAAAATTGGAGGGGAATTTATTTCAGATATAGGGGAAAAATATACACATGTCTGGGAGGGGCGACCCTAAATAAGTACTGACTGATTTAAATGGCTAGTTACATGTTTTATAATTACACTTACAGCTATCTGTCACTCTGTGACCTTGACTTTTGACCTGAAAATGGTAGTGACTGGTAGAACTTGTTAAGATGCATCTACATACATAGTTTTATGTTACATGGTCAATGCCCCAAAAGTGACTGTTGTGATTACCAGTTACAGGTTCCTTTTACCATGACCTTTGAATCTTGGACCAGAAAATGGGTGTGGCAGGTAGAACTTACCAAGGTACAACTAGTTACAATGTTTGAAGACCCAAGGTCAAAACCTTCAATGCACTTTGATTTAATTACCAGTACTGTAGTGTATTTTGTTACTTACAGGGCCCAGAGACTTTGACCTTTGACCTGAAAATAGGTGTGGCTGGGAAAACTTGTCAAGGTGCATGCAATGAACAACATAAATTGCATAAATTGTAATCAGTTCTCTAAAATATTAGCGGTCTATATTTACAAAAGGAAAAAATAGACAGCAAGTTTCATACCTAATACATTTTGTTCTTTCAGCATTTCACATCTTCATTTATTATGTACTCAATGTTTTAGATATATCTCAAATTGGAAAAAAATAATTTCAGTCAACATATATTGTCCAACAAAAAAATATCTAAGTAAAGTATTTGCAATGTCTATCATGCTGTAATTTTGAACCATTGCAACATATTATTTTGAAAATATTGACTTAAATTATAAATATACCCAAATATACTACAAAAATTGTCTAAAAATTGATAAACTGGATATTAACCAACCCAATATTTACGGTAAATTGCAGTAATGGCAAATTTTGATTTTTCTTGATTAAATCGCCAGTGGAAAACAATGATAAAATATTTAAAAAGTATTTACTTCCATACAACTATTTGCACAACAACCAAAATTGTGAATATTTCTTCAGAAAACAGGAAGAATCTGATTGTCACATATTTTCGCGACACTGATAAGTTATATATTTATTTAAAAGGTGAAAATAAGCTATGTTCTGTTTAAAAAGCTTTACTATTATGGCAGAAAATTTGTTTTACATTGGTGATGATGACATTTTTCAGTAAGTTGTTCAGGAAAAAAGGCTGTATTCGCAAGTGTTATTTCTATAGGCTAATATGACCTAGATCTACTTCAGTAAATGTGGAAATTGACAGTGGTTATAGCTGACAAAATTTGATTAGAACAATCAAAAGAAATTGTCTGATCACAGCATTATATAAAGTTATAATGAATCTTTAATATTATTGTTATACAGTAATTATTCTATTCATAACATTTTTATTCTGTTCTATAATAACAATTAAAGTTGTGGTTCTATGTATAAAAGGTAGTTATAAATATACACAAATGTATCAGTTTATTTGAGAATCCTTATAAAACTGAAAAAGTTTTTATGTATCGTCGAGTGACCCGTTTTTACGCTGCCCTATTTCGACGCCATTTATATTTTGCCTCATAATTGATATAAGCGGCCGCTTACGTCATTACTGTACTACGCTATAGCAAAAGGGGATTCCTCTAGTTTGTCAGGTAACAATATGTAGTAAGTAAGACACCCAAAGGTAAGATTTAGCATGTTATACCTTTTTTAAGAGATTTTTGTATGATTTCACTAATGCAATTTTGACCCTCACTTTACTATGTCATGCTTTTCTTGAAAAAATCGGCTGGAAAATACCCCCCTGTCTGCTGACCTCATTTCCTCATTCTCAGGTCACATGGCAGTAAAATTACCCAATAGTGTTGTTTTTTGCGCATTTTTTCACCCTAAAGCAACCTGTACGCGTTGTATATTTTTTAAACGGTTATTAATCGATGAATGAATATTAATTGAAAATTAATTGGATATGTTTATCTTATTTGGATGGAATTAATTGCCATGATTTAGTAAGTTGCTCTGCTAAATGTATTATTTTGTTTTTGCAGGTTCAACAAAGGAAGTTAATGTGCTATTTTCCAACCTTTATTATTCAGCAGAGGAGGTCAAACAGACTAGGGCAACCACCCAAACCACTGTAGAAATACAACAATAGCATTTACCATATATAATTATGCTTTATTATTGAAAGAAATAAAGAATAGATAAACTATTTTTCACTTGTTGATACTTTGCAGGTCTATGCTCTTGATGTTGGTGAATAGCGTAAGTAAAAGTATTATGGTGTACAGTCTCCTGTAGTGTGTAATTAAATTAGCCACTCAATAGCGTCGTTTTAGGGCACTCTCAATCAAAATGGCCGCTCCCGGATGAAGTGAAAGTAGGATTGTTCTTGAAAAGGAATAGCTGGAAAACAGCTTAAATTTACTCATTTCATAAAGGTTAGAGATTTTTTAATAAGTTAAAACATTTTATACAATACAATCACATGGTTTTAATAGACGCATACAAAACAATCCTTATGGGCGTCGAAACTGGTCACTCGAGGATAATGTTTATTTTATCAACTGCTTATGTTGTTTAAATCGCTAAATTGTGAACAGTCCGCTGAACTTTTGGCTATTCTTTTTTTAAGTTAAAAATATAATTATTGGCTATTATTATTTTATTTGAGCCAGTGTGAGCCCTGTGTATGATGCTAGGCGTTAAGGAGCAATAACTATTAGACATCAGACTTGACCGACATAAACTATAACAAGCCTGTAACGCCATATTTGGAAAGGGTGGTTCAAGTCAGGGGATACGATAGGGTCTGACCCAAAGTGTCTGTGGTCAAAAGGGCAAGATGAGACAAACATCAACAAAACTGACGATGTATTGTAAGATAGTTACAAGACTTTTTTTAAACTGAAACCAGTGATTTAACTTTAAGGAAAAGGTGCAATTTAACTTATTATTTAAGTTAAATATTTCACAGTAGATTCCAAATTATAAGTCAAAGGTCTCAATTTCTAATGTTGTAGAGATTAAATAGTCATTCAGAAAAGAACTACGAGAAAATGAAAATGATTATTTCATTGCGGATGCCAATCAAAATGCTCAATGATTAAAGATAGATCTCACAAAAATATTTTTGACATATTTGGGTCAAAACTTCTCAAATTTTCAAAGGAAAACTTCCAACAATGCACGTGAAATTTTCAGTTGGCAACCTGCAAAAAAATCATATATGTTATTTTATGTCAACATGTGATGAAAATACTTACATTACATTGCAAATTGTCAAGAAAAACTGGTTTTCATTTCTGACAAATCAATCAACAAACGAGGAAGTCATAAAAATGGCGGCGCTTTCTCGCGAGAGTTGGGCTCTCTTATGGCCATCAATTGCGGTCTATCAATCGGTAGGTTCAAGGACACTAAATCTGTCTGTATATTTTCTTCTTTGGTCCGCCTATCATACATCATATCACGGTATGTTTAAACAACTGTAGATCTATATCAAAATGGAACAAAATCTTTAAATATATATATATAATCACCCTTAGGATATGTTGCCTGCTTTTTAAATTTGTCTTTTTTCACGTCTTGTCTGTGATATGCAGGCTTCACCGCCTTCATAACCAATATGTGTAAAAAACATGTTAACATACATTTATAGGTCAATAGCTGATTGTATAAATGGTCATTTTAGTCAAGTACAACAATAAATAGAACTTTTATGTTTAATTAGTAATTATAGTTATTTATTAACATCATTACGTCACCTTGGCGCAAAAAGTACTGTAACTGACCACAGGGACCCAGCACAGTGATTGGATAGTGTAAAAAATAATTCTAAAAAAGAAATATATACTGCATATATAATAAAGTATTTTTTTTTTCTAGAATTTTTTTTTACACTATCCCAACACTGTGCCGGGTCCCTTTGTAACTGACATTTATGAAATTGTACAGGAGACACAAAAAACTGATTTATTCATTTTGAGTAAACCCTTTTAATTCCAGACAATAGTGTTAAAATATCATTAATAAGTATTATTAAATTGGTTTTAAACATTACAATAATTCATTTATGTATAAAAAGTAATTAGACATTCTTCTACACTTACATGACTTTTTGCACTGTGATTTTAAACGCAAAAAGTGATGTAAGTGCACTTACCATAGTTTTTGCTCTAACTTTAATTTTAAGTATCGAAGTTACTGCATTGCATAGACATTGAAAGATGTTTATCACAAAAAAAATAATTATAGGGTTTGTTTAAAATGGGTCATTGTGGATTATGAACCGCATTTAATACATTTAACATATGAATGGAAGTTTAAAAACTGAATATTTTGAAATTAATTTTAAACGGTAACAGTAATTCCAAAGCAGTGTATTTTTTTAATTTCAAAGTAAATGTAAGCATTAATCACAACAAAATTACATGAAAACTGCAGACTGGCTTGATTGAGTCTGTACATGAGCAATAATGAAAAGTGCAACATCCCTCACGCCCCCTAGCACCGACTTAAGCTGTACTCAATTTTCAACACTTAAAAGTGCTGGAATCAATGATTACAGAGGACCAGAAAAAACATAACAACACTGAAGTGAAGTATGTGACAACTTATTAACCATGTTTTTTACTGTTGTCATTTTCTAATGGTACAGTTTATTTATGTATTTGTTATTAAAAGGGGCATAATGAGATCTATATATCATAATATCTATGTCTCAATAATATCCAACCAATACAGGGACGTAGACTTTGAGATTTTGGATAAAACCACCAGGAATCTTGAACTTTTCTGAACATTTTGGTTGGATCTAGTCGAGATTTTTGATGAACCTGCTAAGAATCCTAAACTTTTCTTGTCCAACATATCCCTGTGATATCCTTTTATATTATCTGTCATGAACAGACTTTAATCATGAACAAACTTCAAGTTTTATATATAATTTTGTTTTCATTGCTTTTTCTTTTCAAAATTTTGATATATTGAATTCAAATTGTCTTATTTCCTGCCACCAAACTTTAAACATTATACTCTGTATCACTTTCATGGTTAAATAGCTTTGATTTTATATAAAAATTCAGATTAATTTCTGTGACAAAATGTGGTTTGGATCTATGTGCAATTAGTACAATTGTTGAAAATTGAGATTTTCTGTTAATTAAAGTGTTTTACATGCACGACATAGAGAATGAACTGAGCCATTCTTATTTTTGATATGACCCCATTCTATATGTATGAATGTATGGGAGTTGTAGATACACCAAATTAGACATAACATACCAGCAATTATGGTTTTGGCCAATATATTATTGAAACAGATTATATGCCTTTGTCTGCCATGTTTTATAGAAATCAAAATAGAAAAGATAAACCAATGTTAGCAACTGTTTCATTCCAGGGCTATAAACATTGAAATTGCAGTTACATTTTTATAATACAGTTGTCCTTATATAATGCAATAAGAATGTTCTTCTAAGCAAGTTTTTTCTTTATTTTCATAATAAATAATTGAGTAAAAAATTGAAGAAAAAAATTATATTACTTAGAGCTGTCATCAGTAGAAATGATATTGATGCATCGTTGATATTTTTCTGTTGATCAGTACACGTTTTAGAAAATCGATAATTTTGATTTAATAATTGAATGTCTAGAAATTATGAAAATTCAACCAAAACATATGCAGAAGCAATTACTTCATGGCAGTGATGACAAAAATTTGTTAGCAAAAGTCATGCAATGGGCATTACTTGAATCATTTAAAAATATCAACAAAATTTGAATACTAAAAAATTCCTAGCTATATTGTTTGTTGTCAAATTAAAATAAAACATTTTCTTTAAATGTTAGTTTCCTAAAGTAGATTTATATATAAAATTTTTATTTTAGAAATAATTTTGCTATTTAATAATGCCGTAGTGAAATATTTTAATGCAGTTACAATACTTTTTGCATCAAATTATTTTCAACTTATCTGTAAAAACATTGGTACAAAAACTCACGTAAGTGTACTTACTGTAGTTTTTGCACCAACAAATTCTGAAGCTGCACTTACGTTTTTTAATTTTATGCCAAAAAAGTCATTTTTTATCAAAATTCAGCTTCTAAACTTCAGAGACTGGTGAAACTTTGTATTTCTAACCAAATAACGACAAGTGATTTTCTCAAAAAATGTCAGTTACATGAATTTTTGCTCCAAGGTGACCATTTAATTTAGTCTTTGTCAATGTGCATCTCAAAAGATATTGTGGTTTAGTTATTTGTTGAGTTTTTTTTTCAAATTCTATTTCTTTTATGTGTTGTCATTTAAAATGCCTTTGTTGAATGCATATAGTTACTAGTCCTTTTTTTAATTGTGTTATCAAATCAGAATTAGCTTATGTTATCTTATTATTGTTTTGTTTATGTACATTTACATTTAATGTACTGATATTTATTTTATGTAATTGTATGCCTGAGAAGGCCCATGATTGGTAATAAAACACTATTCTATTCTATTCTAACCTCTGATCCCCTTTCTAAATTCCATTTTGTTTCGTTCCGCCCATTCGTTTCTCGTTTACGACACAAGCTTTCTATTACTTGGGGACCATACGCCGCTTTTCATGGAATGGCACTTACGTGTCACATTGTGGGTTCCATGATAACCGCCGTATGAACACATCTGCGGATATTTCTTAATTCAAAGTTTCTCCATACTTCAGTACTGTAGTCATGTTAAAATGTTGAATCCTGCTGTTGAATTTTATATAAGGGTGCAAGGGATAGGGGAGATTTGGGGCTAAATACTGAATAAAATTGCTTTTTAAATGCTGTAACAGATGTTTCTTGTTTTGAATGTTTAATCAAAGAGTACAGTATTTAGTGTTGGGCTTGTTACCATTTTGGATATCAGTGTTATTTAAATTTAGGATGTCTTCAAAATACTTGTTATAAGCCTCTTTAACCTTTTTTCGCACTAGATGTTTCATGTCAAGAAACTTTTTACAATCAGAAGATGATCCAGATTTATTAACCCTTTAAAGGCCCGGTTTCTTTTTCTGATCAGTCTCTTGACATGCGGATTGACCCAGGGAAGGTAGAATCCATTTTTCAGTAAGTGACTTAAGGTATTACCATCCTTATGCATTACCTCCGCTTTGAAGAGTATATAAGGAACTAAAAAATTGACATCATAGGTCAGATGTATACCTTAAAGTACACCTGTATGCAAAATTTAAACAAAGTTTACCGTACGGAAATCAAGTTATGGCCACTTCTCTGAACTCAAGCTAGGATGTTATGAGGGCCTTTTTTTAGAAATGAGGAACCTTTAAATAATCTGCTATTACTTTCTAATAAAAAATGTTTTCCCATTAATTTTTGGTAAGAAACAAATAGTACCATTCAGCTAACAATCCACATAAGCAAAATTATGGTTTCTACTTAAAATTTATGAAATCTGTATAAAAACGTTACCCTACCCCACCCATTTTTACCACGTGTCTGACCCTTTTTCTACTAAGGGAGCCTAATTTAAAAAAATCTTAAAATTTACCCAATTGAGTGCCTGTTTTCAAAGTTTCCCTAAATTTTTAAAAAAGTATATTGGTTGATCTTGTAAAATATGAAATACTTTTACCGTCTAGTTTTGATTATATTACACTTTGAAAATATCAGGTACCATATTTATTACTAGATTTAGCATAATTTAGCCAATAAATACCTATATAAATTAAAAAATCAAAATTAAACACTTTTTTCTTTCCAAATGGGACATGAGAGATACATAAATAATGTTAAAAGAAAAAAAGAAAGAAAAAAAAGTTGACCCTTCTGGGGATTGAACCCATGGCCCTCATTTTCAATGTAGTAAACGGTAGTTCTAGCCTATTTGAATACTCTTCAAAGCGGAGGTAATGCATTAGGATGCTAATACCTTAAGAATATCTGAGAAATTTTCCCATAACTCCTCTTCATTCACAGTGTGGCAATACCACGTGACATTGACGTCATTTTCGGCATCATTTCCAAGACAAATATTGCTCGATTCGGAAAAGAAAATAGCCGTAAATATTTTATTTCTGTACCAATTTCTTTGGGACATGCACCAGTCTACGGGGAAAAATATAAGCTTTCCACAGAATATTGGATCTTTGTCAGTTTATAAGCCGTTTTATCAAACACTTTGCATAACCTTTGAAGTTTCTTGTATTAGAGCGGGCTTCAGTTACAAGCTATTTCGTTTTCTGGCGTTATTTGGTCTACACCATGATTATTAGGTCAGGTTTACATCAACCGGGGGTACAGACAGCAAAATCCTACCTTAATATGTTTATATGTTTATTATTTATGGCGTAAATCTTGCCATTTTCTTCAATTGTCAATTCTGGCACCAGTTCCAAGTCGAAAAAAAGGACTTCAGTTTAA